GTGCGAGCGAGAGAGAACGCAAGGGGCACGAAACAGAGTATGTCCTTTTCTACGTGTATCTTTACCCCCACTTCTTAAATAAAGGCAAACGCTCGGTCTAGATATACTATGTCTATGCGTGAACCGTATATGTGTAATGCGCAGAGAGTTCTGCGCATTATATCTGAGCTGATTATATGATTTTGTGTTTACGCGTGTTTCTTGCTGGAAAGCTCCTTATGCCCGTATCAGACTACGCATTGAAAATTGAAGATTGAAGATTAAAGATTGGAATTTGATCAATCAGAACAAAAGGGACTAAAATTTCTTTATTCGATTGGTCAAATTTCAATCTTGAATCTTGAATCTCAATCTTCAATGCGTAGTCTGATACGGGCTTTAGTGCCGGTCTACAATAGGTGATTGAAGCCCTAAGCCTTAAGAAATTGACCAATCACAATCAAGTATGAGGAGAATACTCGATTGTGATTAGTCAATTTCTTAAGGCTTAGGGCTTCAATCACCTATTGTAGACCGGCACTCAAGGCCACTTCGACCAAATTTTGGTTAATGTAATCGTTTATTAACTTACAGGGCGAGCAAAAGTAGAATTTTAAAATTTGTATTATATTATATACGAGAATTTTATATAATGAAAAATTTTTATGTTGGTCCTCAATTTTCAATCCCAATGCATAGTCTGATACGGGTTTTACATTTGCCATACAAGTTTGTCGGACGTAACGATTGGCTATCGAATAAAAAATTCCTTGGATTCCTAGCAAAATTCTAAGAATTCTCTATTTGATAGCCAATCAATATAACAATAGGTTTGTAGAATGCGAAGTTGGGGATATAGGGCTTCTGGGGTTCTGCAAACTTCCCGCACGTATCAGCCAATCATTCAACTATGTTCTGACGAAGCTTGCATATGACCAATGAGATCTATTATCACAATTGACAGTGATCGAGAAACTTTTGATATTTTTCAGCTGATTATTTTGAATTTTCCGAATCGTCTATATTACACATATACATATATAATATGATAGCCTGCAAAAATCTCTGCATAAATATTATGAAAGAAAGGCAGATGCTAAATAGATATCTAAAAACTGTTGTAACCAAATGCAATTATTCAAGAACGGCGAACTCATCTTCGGAAAACGATGAGAAGACGACACATTTCGGTTTTCAAACGGTCAAGGAAAGTGAAAAAATGAAGGAAGGTAAATATTAGTTCCGTCACAAACATTTTTTTTTTTTTTCTGTATGGAAAGTTGATAAATATTTTTACAATTTATTAGACGTAGTTTTATATTAAAGATTGTATACATTTAACGTTCTTTATTAAAGTTTTTTATTAACGTTTTATATTAAAGATTGTAGACAATTTAATTGCAAATTATTCTTTTTTTTTCAGTGTATACTGTATTTGAAAATGTTGCCAATCATTACGACATAATGAATGATGCAATGAGTATGGGTATCCATCGTATTTGGAAAGATATCTTTGTACAAGAATTAGGACCGACTCATGGTACCCATCTCTTGGATTCTGCCGGTGGCACAGGCGACATTACTTTTCGGTATATGAACTTTTTAAAGAGTACACCAAATCCACAAGCTATACATAGCCATGTAACTGTGTGCGATATTAATCAACATATGCTAGACGTTGGGAAAGAACGAGCAAATAGGCTAGGTTTGTCACAGGACAGTAATTGCAGTATTACTTGGAAGCAAGAGAATGCAGAAAATCTCTCTTTTCTCGAGGAATCTTTCACCGCTTATACCATAGCGTTTGGAATAAGGAATGTAACACATATTGACAAGGTGTTTATAATACACTGGATTTACTCATTAATTATTTATATAATATAAAGGTACATTAAAAGTAATTATTTCATTATATGCTACAATATATGCTGTCACTTTTAATGAACTTGTAAAGTTAGATTTATATTTTTTAGTCTTTAAGGAATACTTAAATTGCAGGTATTGTCGGAGGCATACAGAGTTTTACAGCCAGGAGGAAGATTTTTATGCCTGGAATTTAGCCATGTCAATAGTGGAACTTTACAATGGTATATGTGCTTTGAATTGATAGAAAACTATAACATGCGAAACAATAATATGTATAGACTAAACTGTAGTAAAATTTTCTCAAATATTTATTTTAGGCTGTATGATCAATATTCTTTTCAAATAATACCTGTGATGGGACAATTGATCACAGGGCAATGGAAAGCCTATCAGTATCTTGTAGAAAGCATAAGAAGATTTCCAAAACAAGAAGATTTCAAAGTAAAGTCTCTATATTTATTTTAATTTTATTATTTTTACTTGTTACATGTGAACTGTAATAACATGCTGTAGCATCGAGACATTTTTTAAAATTGTATAATATAATTTTTTTATTTTAATTATTTTATGATTATCAAGCTTTTTGCTTCTACTATGTTATGTCTGAAAATTTGTTAATATAATCTTAGGTTTTAATTGCATATTTATCATATTTTATTATATTTTTAGGACATGATCGAGACTGCTGGATTTAGAAATGTGACTTATAAAAATCTAACTTGTGGTGTAGTAGCTATCCATTCAGGCTTTAAACTATAAATAAAATAGTTTGTTAATGGAAAAAAAAAAGGAAAACGAAGAAACAATATTATAATATATCAAAGGTAAAATATGCAATAACATGTTCCTTTATCTTTAATCAAAATTATTTATTTCTTTTAAAAAAAGAATTGTATTATTTCTATTAATTATTTAATTATACACACTATGTAAGGAACAAAAGAGAGAGAGTATATATACATATATATATATATATGTACATATATGCATTTCATTGTTATTTTATCACAATTTTGCCATTAATTTATCATTTTAATTGCAATATATAATAATTCAAATTTTGCTTTTATCAGTAATTATTCTTTGCAATTGAGTATAATTTCTTTGCGCGCGTCGCAGAAATTACTGTCTGAAAGCCCATTTCGCTATGCTCTATTGTATATTTGGGCTGCCACCTGTCCGAGTGTGAAATTCGCTTGCTTACTGCGTAATCGCTCTACGTTTGTAACTCGCTCTATTGCGTAAGAGTCGTGCGACTCTTGGGTGCTTGGGTGATGCTCGAGGTGATGCGACCAATGGTGCCCCTATCGCGATTTACGTTACTACGCATTTCTACGCAGGTCTTTTCCGCGGATCGTTTTTTTCGCAATACAAGGACCTGAGGATGTAAAGAAGTACGAGTGAAAATTTTAAGAAACGAGAGTTACTCCAAAATCACATGATTCGTTTTTCAGGATTTACAGCTCTTGACATTCAAATCAATTCTACATGAGAATATAATGTCGCGTTTGCGAATTTCACTCTGTTATAAATTATATATATATACATATATATTTGTAAGCGAATGACGATCATTTTTTTCTCGTGCACACAAACTAACTTGTAATATATTGAAATTTTAATATATATTGATTTTGATTGAACAAAAAGGTGAAGAAGGGAAACAAATACTGGCTAATTTCTTCAGAGGAAGATACAACCGAATTTGTGTTCTGCAAGATAGCAGAAAATTTTTAAGCATAAAATTGTATCGAGATAAGAGAGTTCGAAGACGCAATATATGGAAATTACAGCGAGATATGAAATAGATTATGAGGGTGCGAAGAACGCGAAAGAAGGAAGCTTCGACATGTCGACGGAGACGACCCAGTGAGAGAAGCCTATCGTATCGTGTCAACAACGACAACGACGCGCATCGAAGGCCGTCGTGGCGAGGGGGAATTCATTCTGCGTGGCGTAATATCTACATGCGTCATGCGGTATGCTTTCTCTCTAGGAGGTGAAAATTCTTAACTTTCTTCGACTATAGAAACATTCCTATCTATCTATGTATCTACCTCGGTACCGATGATGCTTTGCCGCACTCTTACAGCTTTTCAGCTCTTATTCGTCTGTTATTGACGCGTCTCTCCCTTGCCTCTCGGAGGTATGTTACTGGCGCTTACAGTGATTTCCCTTTGATCAATATCGCGCGATACATTATATTTTTCACGATAAATTAGATTTACGGTTTTTTTATTTTTACAGTTCATGTTCCCTTTTAGAGATACATGCATTCCCTGAGCGTATTTCTCTCTGGGAATCTTTCGATAAATTATTCGCAACATATGCAACATATATTGTATATATATGTAGTGCTACGATATTAGCAGTTAATATAATATTATACCTTCGAAAAGAAAAATATTTTATATCGTAAAATAATTGAAACTCTTATAAACGGAGATATAATTTACCGAGTGAGATGAATTAGATAGTTCTTAAAGCGGAAGAAATCGAGCGAAGATGCAAAGACTATTCTCGCGATGCAGCTTCTTGTTGCATATATCGATTTTCCTGACCCCGATGATCTCGCGTACCCCTTCCGCCTTGGATACTTCCTAGAAAGTATATAATGCCTCGTTACCGCTTCGGTCTATGGTTTATATCCATCTGCCAGTGAGGGAATCGACGTTGCATTATTATACAACACGCCGTTTCTCATGATATCCCGCATACGATCATCTCTCCGAGAAGCATTGCTTTCAGATAGATTCGGATGAGTAAGCAAAAATTGCGTCATATGCATTAAATATTATATTCGTAGGAGATAAAATTTCAATCTTAGTAACTGAGTTTAGAATTAATACAAGCCTATAATAATACAATCACCGATCGTGCGAGAAAGGATATTACATATATATATATATATATATATATAATTGTCTCAATAAATTTTACTTTAAATTATAACAAATTTTGAAAAAATGTAAAATATCACTTTTAAGTTTCTCCTATAGCGCATCTAACGTCATCTAAACTTATCTAAAAGTATACATGAAATGTAACATTTTCCTCTATCTGTTATAAAAACCAGGTAGCAAGAGGGATAAGATTTTATTCGAAAGTATTAGTGAGTACGATGATAGATATTGCAAAAAACTCGGCTCTTCGTGCGCCAATTACTTCACCCATTAAAGGACGAATCGTGTCCGGGTTACATCAGCAGATGCGAGAATTACGCGATGATTGCACCGATTAATCGATAGTAACACGGCGAACACCGGAGTCGCGGGTTCCCAGGGGCCGGGATCAAGGTGTTTCCGTTTCGCTGACGAACTCGCAAAAGTTTTAGAGAGCGAACGATCGGGACACGGAGACCTTTCGATATAGTAAATTCTAGTATATAAGGTGATCCGGGGAATTCGTCAGTACGATTCTTTTTTTTGTACACATATGCCTGATGCGACAAATGAAAATTTTTTCACACGATTTTCCAGAAGCTTGGAAAGATGCAAAAAGCGTTTTACGCAATATGACTTGTTGATTTAAGCGAAAATTCACGTATATGAATTTTAAGGTGATTTTACTTAACACTGGCATTAGGAATGAACGATTCGACATGGTGTTTATGACATTCGACAGCTAATAGTATTGGAAAGGAGAGAAAGTGTTAGACAGGGATAACTTGGCAGTCGGCGTTTACCTATATGTGGCGCTTCTCTTCGTGGCATTGCAATTATAAGACGATTGTCCGCGCGAAAATATTACACCAGACCAAAAGGAAAGATAAGATGATCGTGTGAAAGGAGAAAATTTTTATGTCAAATCTTCTCTTAATCACATCGTATCAATATCGGCGATCATCGCGCTTAGTCTTACAGAGCTTACAGAGATTATACGTGTGTCATATACATATATATCGTCTTTTCATATAATTCAAATTATAATTTAATTTAATCTTGTATAATCTAAATTTTTTCATGATTTTATAATAATTATAAAATAATTTATTATAATAATTTAATTTAATTTAATTACTAATATAATAACGTAATTAAATTTTTCATATAATTTATTACTCTTCATAGTTTTAAATAAAAAATCAGACACTCGAATTGAGATATTTGCGTGATTACAGACGCAGGATCATGCCTCGAGGTCCCCAAATAAAATTCGAAAGATACGATGAGAGCTGGGGGAGCAGAGAGTGCTAACGAATGAAGAATCTCGGTGTCCTCGCTCTTACTAAGCGTTCGCGTAGACCGAGTAAGAGCGAAGGGGCATGCAATTAAACTGCGTAAGGCCTCCGTAAGTGAATGGGTAAATCGTATCTCGTGCTTCACCGGTCCCGCGCGATTCGACCGGACGTCCCGAGACCGCCAGCAAAGCGCTCGAAGGTAGAAAGGTAGATGATCCTTAGTTGCCGAATAGAAGACAGAGACTGTTCTCTCGGGAATCGCGAGAGAAGTATTTCAATGAAAAATAATTTAAATGCCGAGAGGACCGGGGAACCAAACACACACACATGTATATATATATATATATATATATATATATATATATATATATATATATATATATATATATATATATATATATATATATATATATATATATATATATATATATATATATATATATATATATATATATATATATATATATATATATATATATATATATATATATATATATATATATATATATATATATATATATATTGTCGCAATTACGCCTTGAGGGTCAAAAGTACCTTTTGACGTAAGAAGACATTTATGCTGAAATTTCGTCACGAGTTACGTTTCTCATGCGAGAAATGGTTTATTCGTAGTATTATAACTCACTTGTCGAGTATCACGTTATTCGGAGCCCATCTCGGGGGCCTGTATCTCGCGGAGCGAGATGGGATATTTCGCGTGCATATATAGGATCGTACCCTCGACCGTTTCGACCCTCGTCGTTGCCCCCCTGTTGCTCGATATGCTCTACTACACAAATACTGAAACGAAGATACAATCTAGCATCGCCCGCAAAATCGAGCGAGTTTTCCTATCTCGCGTCCTACCTTCGAGCTCTAACGAGTTCTTACGATCGCTCGATTACGCGCGTCTCTCGCAATAAATATTGCGCAATATTAATTTATATCTCTCGTACTCTCTCCCTTTCTTTTTTTATACGCGAGAAAAATTCTTTCTCGTCGACGTTTCGATAAGGAAACTATCGATCTTCCCAGAGTTCGCGTGTGTTACGTCATATTTATAATTTGCAGCAGATTTGTTATATATATATATATATACATTGCAATTATAAGACGATTGTCCGCGCGAAAATATTACACCAGACCAAAAGGAAAGATAAGATGATCGTGTGAAAGGAGAAAATTTTTATGTCAAATCTTCTCTTAATCACATCGTATCAATATCGGCGATCATCGCGCTTAGTCTTACAGAGCTTACAGAGATTATACGTGTGTCATATACATATATATCGTCTTTTCATATAATTCAAATTATAATTTAATTTAATCTTGTATAATCTAAATTTTTTCATGATTTTATAATAATTATAAAATAATTTATTATAATAATTTAATTTAATTTAATAACTAATATAATAACGTAATTAAATTTTTCATATAATTTATTACTCTTCATAGTTTTAAATAAAAAATCAGACACTCGAATTGAGATATTTGCGTGATTACAGACGCAGGATCATGCCTCGAGGTCCCCAAATAAAATTCGAAAGATACGATGAGAGCTGGGGGAGCAGAGAGTGCTAACGAATGAAGAATCTCGGTGTCCTCGCTCTTACTAAGCGTTCGCGTAGACCGAGTAAGAGCGAAGGGGCATGCAATTAAACTGCGTAAGGCCTCCGTAAGTGAATGGGTAAATCGTATCTCGTGCTTCACCGGTCCCGCGCGATTCGACCGGACGTCCCGAGACCGCCAGCAAAGCGCTCGAAGGTAGAAAGCAGATTTGTTATATATATATATATATATACGCATATATCTTTTTCTTTTTCTTTACCAAGACTGAAACGCGCCGTTTTCCAAGCCACGCGTTATCCGTGGATCTCGAAAGGATTTCACTATCTCGGGAGCGCGCGACGAGAGAAGCTTAGCGTTTTGCCTCGCGGGAACCGTGAAATTTATGAAAATATCCTACCATTATCGTTATATATTCTAAGATATAAGAACGTATAATACGTAGGTAGTACAAAGTTGAACGTTACGTGCATGTTACCGCGTTGCGTAACGGTCGCGGAAAAAGAAGCGCTTCTTGCACGATATATATTCGCAACGAACGTGACGTAGGAGGAGTTTAATTTGCCCGTAATGTACGTGACGCAAATTACGTTGGGTTTACATTTCATGCTACGCTAGTTTACGACCGATTTCATTCAGATAATAGTTTTCCATACCATTTTTATCGCGAGACTTTTTCTCACACCGCAAAGCGCGGTCCACGCTACTTCCTCTCTTTTCTTTCTTGCTTTTATGCTTCTTTATCAACAATTAACGCGCTCGACAGGAGATAACCCAGACAGCACAAGGATGTCCTTAGGACGTCCAAAGGGCATCCAGGACATACATGTAGGATATCCTGAGGATATCCTATTTTAATCCTCGGATCTCCTCTGGATGTCCTGAGGAAGAATAAATGATAGCCGTACACTAGCCTCTAGAGAATCCAGGGAGATCCTGTGGAACACCTTAAGGATTTCTATAGGATATGTTAGGGATATTTTTCACACGTTAAAAAGAACAAATTCTAAAATTTAAATATAAATTAAGATTGCGTTCTGTTATTTACTGCCAATACTAAAAATCTAATACTAAAAATAGTTCACGTTCTTTAATATTTGAGGTTTTCGTGCTGTACATAAATATTTTAGGTTTGGCTTCCGGGTTTAAGTCGTGTAATATTTTCAAAACAATCCAATATCTGAATTCCCTATGTTGGGATTGCATCAGAAATTGAACTGATAGAAAATAATTATATTTTTAATTTCCTGTTAGTTGCTCTTTGCAAGCTTTATATAATTCTCATGACCAAATCTCAAATACGAGTTTGCGCGTTGCATAGCGGTAAACAAACGAACTAGCGGTTGAATACTATTTTTTGTAAAGTTTTTGGAATGTTGCGCATAGTAACATTTCTCATAAATTATTAAATAAATAATAATTTTGAATATGTGAAAATGTGCGCATCAAATTCAATTATGATATTTATATTAAACGAAATTAATGTTAACAGTTAATTGCACATGTATATGTCCTCTGGAAATCCAAAGGACATTCAATATAATAGACAGGGCAGACATCCAGGGGTTATCCAGGGGACATTTATAGGACATTAATACTTATTACAATACTTAAAATTTCTAAATTATATTAAATAGCCTACATAACCGAAAGTAATCATGTATGCATATTAAATTTTCATAAAATATATTTATAATAATATCTTAAAACATCCTACAAATATCCTGAACCATCCTGGACATATTCAGGATGATCCTGAGGACGTTTTGTGCTGTCTGGGAAGTTCTTGATTTAGAACGTGCTCAAAAACACGAAGAAAGTGAGCTATAATTTATCAACATTTTGAAATTTAAACAACGTTCCTGTCGCGAGGAATGCACTGGAGAAAAAGTATCGTTAAAGAAATTAATGCAGTGAATCTTCTACGAATGGTTCGCGATTTATGATTTCTCTCCTTAATTCACACGATGCGTGGATGGATTGATCGATGGGATTCTCTTTCTCTTTCTTGCACACTCGTCCTCGGCCTCGATGGCCATTGCCGATCGGAAAATCCCAAGAGCGATCGATAAGGATCTAGATCTGCCGGATGTGTTGTCGTGAGGTGAAGAGAGAGAGAGAGAACACGACGAAAAAAAGGGGAGGAAAAGATGCACCGCTGCCGTTTTTTCTCTTCGTTGGGAAAGTTTTTTGATTCCTTCTGGATCGAGAAAAAAGAGAGAAAAGAAGGAGGAAAAAGGAAAGAAAGGAAGAAAGAAAAGACGCATCTTCGCGCACATGCACACATCGAATATTCGGGTCAAATGGACGCTCTCTCTCTTTTTCTCTTCGTCTCAGGAAGAAGCAACTTTTTGCGCGGAAGGAAGACTTTCGATTTCGCAACAAAGGTTGACGATAATTTAGCGACGCGACCGGTCGAGAGTACTACAATTTTTCGTTCTAACATCTATTAGACGAAAGAAACATCTGTTTTTTTTTTAACGCTATCTGTCATCGCGATTATATATATGAAAACGATAGAGATAGAGATTCGCTAACGATTGTGTCACCTGCGACTAGAATCTCTCCTTGCTCAGTCTTTATTTTAAGCTATTATTTCTTTTTCCTTTTAATTATTCTTATATTAATCAAACTTCTTATATTATTATATATATTTACATTTTTTGTTTTCACCCGGAACTAAAAGGTGTGTATGTATCTGGCTAGCACACACGTAAATTTAATTCATATTAATAATAATTACCAATATAAAGTTTACGAATAAAATAAATTCGTTTCGGAACATCCGAAAAGATCGAACTTATTTGAATTTTCTTTTCACTCCATTTCCGTCTGATTCACATATCGCCGTTGAACTAGAAACCCGGAGCTGCCTAGAACCTGCAGGGAGACTTGCATCATTATTATGTCATTCTTGAATCGCTCTCCGAAACTATATACACAGCCTCTCCTCGTCTACTATATCCACGCGCACGTGTAGGACCTCGTACGTGCGTGAGAGGATACCGTCATCTAGCAAGGCTAACTTTTCGTCGGCCGATGGGTCGCACGGTGAGTCCGAAAGCGGAGAACTCGTTCCGCTCATGATCTACTTATCGTGTTGAGGGCGAAGGCACCTCGTGTCATCGCGAAACGAGAGTCGGCACGTGCCTGAAAAGAATTTTTTCAACTCTAGATTTTGATCACATTGTTCGATGGCGATATTTCGAGAAATGAGAAAAAAAAAAGGGGATTAACTGATCTCTTTTTTCCCCCCTCTGTTTGCCTCTTTCTCATATGTAAGACTCTTCCACGAGGAACGCGGCAACCGAAATTTTTAATTTCTCTCTTAACTGCTCGCTTCCTACTCTCCGAATGATCGCGGAAGTAGCCAATTCCATTGTTTCGACTTCAGGTGGCGGAAAACAATTCGGTTACCGTGAATTAAATACTTAGTCAATCGCGGGGTGTCTTACAAAAAAAATGAGATAAACGTTTATGTAGATCTCTATGCACAATGAAAGCCTCATTCGAAGCTTGACCGATTCTTGATAATCGTACAAAAAAATTTATAATGATAGTTTTGTTGTTGTAAATTTTTTTATAGACTTTACAATACAGGAGAATAAAACCTTTTTCAGCAACAACTCTTTTCGCTCTTAAATCTTTCGTGAATCGGTATTGCAATATTTTTTTTATATCATGGTATGTAAATGTAAATTATATAAATTTTTCAAGTAGCTGTTAAATTTTTATACATATAATATAATATAATATATATAATATATATAATATAATCGAACGAAATTGGTCCAGACGAACGTTCCATGGATTCCGAGCATCTCTTAAACGTACCAAATGCACTTTCTACGAGATCGCATCGAAACTCCGACGCTTTTTAAGTACGTGTAATGACACGCACAGCTGTAATAATTTTTTCAAATTTCTTTATAACAATTTCAATATTTTCCCATGCAAAAACTAACATTTAATATCGGTTATTGTTATCGTTTATGATTCTGTGTTTCAGCATGCTACGTGGAGATCGCATGAAGTCACATACCTATAATAAAAAACTCTGAGAGATTTTTATTTTAATAATATTTCTGGTCGATGATAATTTGTCAATTCATCTGACTGCAAAAATCTGAAATTGAAGAAAACAACGTTTTCGTGAGCAGCGAATATTAAATGCAGATATATAAAGTTGTAGGAAATGGACTGAAACTCTTTTATGGGCCAACACAGTAAACCGCAGTGTAATTTACGGAGATCGTGCGTATATGATTTTTTTTTAAATATATCTGCGAGATATTATGACATTACTTGCGTAAAAGTTTTATAGTGACTGCGCGAAACCGTCAGAATTCATCTTTCGCGACTTTATAAAATCTGACACTCGATAAAATCTCTATCTTTATACATTTATGTATAATATTTAATTTTAATAGCATGTGTATATCATGTTGATAATAACGTTACGCATTATATTGTATGAGGCACGTCTTTTATGTATGAACATATGTGTTTAAGAGTGTCATGTTATCATCAAAATTAATAGAAACCTCTCAGCCAGATCAATAGCAATAATAAAAATCGTTTCGTCGAAAGATCGGCTTTTGTTAGCCGTTATGGTATCATGTATAACAAAGAGGCACAACTAGATAAAGTCTCATGATACACTCATAATAAAATGTCCTACAGACGAGCACATTTTTCACGCTTGTTTGTCATCGAAATCCACGCTATACGTGACGTACATGTATCATAAACGATCCTATCCGAATCGAATGGATGAATTTCAACGAAAGTACAGAGACAAATTTGTTTGATGTGCACGCGAGTCTGTCTTCTCACAAGAAGAAGCAAGAGTTGGAGAAAAGAAAGAGGAAAAGAGAGAGAGAGAGAGAGAAAGAGCGATTTGCAATAGCTCCGTCGCATCTCATAGGTGATGGGTCGAGGCATCGAGTGGGGCCCAGACTGGCCCGTATAAAAGGGGGCTTCAAGACATCCGCGGAGCATCAGTCCTCAAATCAAGGAACGGCAGCAACCATGAGGGCATTCGTGGTGAGTAGCGCGACGAATTTCTCGTTTCTTCGATTTCACGTTCCTCCTTCCACATTCTCTTCCTTCTTCTGTCATCTCTTCTTTTTCCTCTCACCGTTCGTTTAATCAGATTTCCCTCTCTATTTCTCTCTCTCTCTCTCTTTCTCTTCGGATACGGGAACCGGCTACGTGAAAATAAGGCGAGATTTCTCGGAGAGGTTGAGAGAAATCGTGGATGAGAGAAACGAAGAGAAACAAAATTCGTACGAGATCGAGATCGTGATCGGGGGTTCCATCCCCGGGAGGGGGGAGGCGGGAGGACGCGCGGGAGAAAGTAAAAGGGTGGGGAGGGTGCACGGGGGGCATTGTGTGCGGTGTCAATGTACTCCGTGATAGTGACCAACCTGGGAACCGGTTCAGTGATTGTGCTACTTCTCTAGTTTCCGTTCACGCGAGATTAAAAGAAAAAGAATTAAATATCGAGATTATCTCTCTCTTTCTCTCCATCTCTCCCTCTCCTGATTTACGTAACACGTCAATGACGTGGAACGCGGCTGATGGCTAAACGAAAAGGATGCATTCTTCGTGCTCGTTAATCCACCGCCGCTTCTTTTCCGGAAATGTCTTTAGATATGTTTATCGCTTAATTCTCGAAAACTTGAAAACGTACGAGATAATAATACAGAGAGTTCATTATTTTGAAAATTTAGATGAAGCGTTTCACGTCTTCGACATATATATACACGTATATTATATTATCTTATAAAATGCGTAAAAAAATCAAGAATTTATTAACATATCAAATAGACAATATATCTTTATCATTTGTTTTTCGAAAAATATTGAGAGAATGTTATGAGAGACCTTAATAACCGTATCCTCTAATTTCAAAATATAACAAACAATTTCCGTGATTATAATGAATTGTACAGAAAAAGTAAAAAATATATCCACATAAAAGAGATAAATATTTAAAATAATACAAAACGATATATATCGCTAATAAAATCGATTTTTTTTCCTCAATCGCAGATCCTGGCGCTCGCCGCCACGGCGATGGCGCGGCCGGAAGCCGGATACCCTTACAGCCAACCGAGCAATAGCTACGGTGCTCCCGGAGGTGGTTCCATCGGCGGAGGTTTCGGCGGAACTGGCGGTGGAATCGGCGGTCTTGGTGGCGGACATGGCGGTGGTCTAGGAGGTGGATTCGGCGGCGGTTCCGGTGGTGGATTCGGCGGCGGTGGCGGTGGCGGTGGCGGATTCGGCGGCGGATTCGGTGGCGGTGCCGGTGGTGGTGGCGGTGGCGGATTCGGCGGTGGATTCGGAGGTGGCGATTTCGGCGGCGGATTCGGAGGCGGAGGCTCGCTCATTCAGAAACACATCTACGTTCACGTGCCGCCCCCGGAGGCACCCGAGGACAGACCAATCAGGCCGATCGCACCACCGGCCCCAGCGCAGAAACACTACAAGATCATCTTCATCAAAGCGCCTACTCCACCGACCCCGACCGCACCTGTAATCCCGGCGCTACCGCAGCAGGATGAACAGAAGACTCTCATCTACGTCTTGGTGAAGAAACCCGAGGAGGCACCCGAGATCAACTTGCCCACCATCACACCCACTCAGCCCAGCAAACCGGAAGTCTACTTTATCAAATACAAGACGCAGGTAAGGGGGATGAAAATTATCCTGGCGCACGATGTAACATTGTTTAAACAGAAAGCGAGAAAATCCTAAATTGGAATTTCCCTTTAATTTCCCTCTCTTATGCATTGCAGAAGGAAATCACCGGTGGCGGCGGCGGCGGCGGCGGCGGCGGTCACGGTGGTGGCATTGGCGGTGGAATCGGAGGTGGAATCGGCGGTGGAATCGGCGGCGGTATCGGCGGCGGTATCGGCGGCACCGGCATCGGTGGCGGAATCGGCGGCACCGGACCGAGCGGACCCAGCACGAATTACGGGGCACCCGGTGGGTCCGGGCCATACTAGTCAATTCACCGCTACCCCAAAAGTCGCGGCCCCTCCGTCCTTCTCCTCCATCATTCACCGACACACACGCATACACCGCTCAACACATACCTCTAACATGATCAGCGACGATGATACTTGCCGTATTGACGTATCGCTGTATTGTATATCGCGCGATCGCCGAGAGAAAAAGACGACAACAATGATAAAGACGGCGATGATGATGACGATATTGAATACGATGACGACGACGACGATGATAGTGATGATGAGAATAATGATGATGTTGATATCGATGATCATAACGACGACTACCATGATGATGATGATGACGACGATAATGATGACGATGATGCTGATTACGACGACTAGAGCGAGGGAGAGATGTTTTTTATACTTATTTTTTGCAAGAAAACGGTGGCGAAATAAAGCTTTTTTATGTATTTTTACATAAAACCATGTCTACATTCTCAACTCATTGTATACCCTTGCGATCCGATTTTCGTCGGTTTTTCGTTTGCACGGATAATATATCCGTGCAAACAATGAGATTTTGAAAAAATCGTGGACTCTCATCGTACGCGCTCTTCTCTTCCTGGAAATTCGAAACCTCGTTTGACCGCCATTTTTACGGACCATCAATTTCACGCCGATCGATGACGTGATTAATTAATCCCGATAGTCTTCTCTAGTTGCGCGATTAGCGGTATCGTTATTTCACGATTGTTAAACGACATGCTTTGTATACAACAAGGGATAAAAATCTGTACCATTCACACTTGTTCTTGGTGGCATTTCGGGCACCAAGCTTTGTCAAGTAAGCAAGTGCCATGGCATTAATTTCCCGCGGTATCTTCCTTTCTCAGCGCGTTCTCAGTTTCCGTATGAGAACGCGCCAAGTATTGCGTGACAATGGCAACAATTCTCGCCGATTCTCATTTCAAGAGAAAGAGAGAAAGAGAGAGAGAAGAGACGGAAAACATTGCTGCCACATTTATCTCTTTCCGAAAAGGTAGCGCATCTCCTCGCGCGAGGAGAAACTTTCACTGCTCCTAAACAACCGCTAATCCAGAGACGAGAGCGATGCTCGTCGCCGGATTTCGTCCAGCCGTTTCACTTGCTTCTCTCTCTTTCTCTCTCTTTCTTTCTTTCTCTCTCTCTCACTTATTTGACGCGTCAACTTCTGAAGGAATCTTCATGAGCTAATTGACGATGATTCGATGAAACGTCCACGAAATGGCACAAGAGAAGATTTCCCTCATTCGTGTATGTGTAGGACATGTGCAAAATTTGCATGCATGCGAAGACAGGGAGACAATTTAAATTATTCAAATGCCGCAATGTCTTTTGCGTGTCGCGGATTCAAGATGATCTCGCGAAACGAGATGATAACTCAATTGCTTTCGAGTTAGAAAGAGAAAAACATGTGTTCTCTATATTTGATGACTTACTTTCATCATACGCACAACACATTTGCATTAATCTGTCAAAGGAGAAAAAAAGAGAGAGAGAGAGAGAAAAAGCGCGTCGGTTATATTTTGCCGAGCGTAATGAAAAACCGTAATGCAGCTCGTACATACGTATACGTCGCGCATGAAACAGCTGTTTGCTACTTGAAATCGCCTGGGGGGAAAGATGAGACAGCGGGCGAAAGCGCGCGAGTCTCCTCCGCTCATTGACACGAGAGTTTAACGGGAGAGAGGACGAGAAAACGAATGAAAAGGAAGAAAGGGAAGCTCGCCAGCGGTATTCCGTATATGTATGTGTTTTGTGCTATCTCTCTCTCTCTCTCTCTCTCTCTCTTTCTCTCACAGCTCACGTACACGCGACAACTATGGAAAATACAGAACGACAATTCAAATCGCTTCGAATTCACGGCACGGCAAATAAATCAAGTCTCTCCTACGTTGCTTTGAATTCTAGCCGCTGCTTTTGCCTTTCCGGGTTGAGTCAGCTGGAACGGAACGAAACGTCAAAGAAGAGAATCGCGCTTCTAACTCATATAGTATATAGATAGTTAAAACGGCTTATAATTTATAACATAGTTTTCGGAGCTTCGAAATGGTTTAACTTTTCATAAAAAAAATTATTCGCACAAAAAATAATTCTTTCTAAAATTTTAGAAAAAGATACGAAAAGAAAATGTGTATAAAAACATGATATTAAGGAGCAAAAATCCACGTGGGGAAACTATTTGTACGCGAAATACGGGAAATTGGAAGAGATTTGCGAGAAAAACGAAATAAAACAGGTGGAATGATGCGGGAGAGGGGGAGGGGTTGAATTAAAAGGGCATCATCGGAGCGGGAGGCCGCGTGTGACGGCACTCAGGTAATAGCCAGGAGGCAACTTTCACGGGAATCTCTCGCGCTCCTTCTCTCTCTGTTTTTTTAAATTTCTTTTTTCTACTCGAACGAGGAAGAGAGAAGGCAGGCAGAGACGAAAGGAAGGGAAGAAAAAAAACACTTTCGAAAGGTCAGACGACGGCCTCCTTCAAGAATCGGACGACTCCGATGCCGAAGGCCGTTATTCGGTCATTGTTTCTCCCGCGATCGTGATATCATCCGGTCGCGCGACGCTTGTATCCGAGCGTGAAAGCGTTCGTGATCTTTGTCTCCCTTTTCTCCCCGGGTTCTGTGTGACGAGACGAATACCTTTTTTAGATCGGCCACTTTTTCATCCTATCATTCTTTCGAATGCATCATTAAGTTGAAGTGTACATATATCGCTACGTAAAACTGACTTTGAGAGTAAAATCCGATATTGATATACGTCTGCGAGTTTCATAGAAAAATCTATTGTATCGATTAAATTTTAATAAAATGGAGAGAGAGAGAGAGAGAGAGTCGATCGATAATCAGGCGATAATAACACGTAAAATCACTCGAGCGTGGAAATTATGTTTATATAACACATTACGTTTGCGGGTAACCATGCGTTTATAATATCCTTACTATTATCTTTGGATACTTGTAATGTAGCTATTAAAGGCGAATGATCGCGATTAATTATTGGCGCAAAATATTAATCCTCCCTCAAGCAATGAACTCTTCGGTGTGTTTCATCGAAATAAATTTCGCGTTAGATGGGCAACGTCACGTACAAAATGCACAAGGAAGAAATTAACGCGGGAGATTCCCGTTGCCGCGAAGATCTCATCCCACGAGTTTAAGGACGAACGCCGCGCGATCACGCGCGTGCATTCAGCTAATTCATTAGCAGCATCGGAGATGCGCTCAAGAGGTCGAAAGATCACTTTCACTGCTCCGAGTTTCCCGATACCGTTCCACACGATCGCGCAACTCCGTCGCCTTTGCGGAAATCCGTTCACAATGAATGGGGGGTTTCTGAGAGTTCTTCGATACCGTTCATCTTATCGAGAGAGCGTTTTTTTTTTTCTTTTAAGAATGTTAACATTTTTATACCTTCCTCTTACTCCGGAAATCTTTTACGCAAGAATCTCAGTGTAATGAATTAGTGTAAAGAAAATATTTTCGAATAATTCGAATACTTAATCACACTGAGAAAAAAATGTTGTTGACTTGACTAAATTCGTCCAACTAATTTCTTTGTATTTCTTTAATTGAAATATTTAAGTATTTAAGTCAAATAAACGTCATGTTAGATTTAATATGTCGTATTTGATTTAAATATTTACATATTTCAATTAAAGAAATACAAAAAAATAGTAATTAGTTGGATAAATTTAGTCAAGTTAACAATCTTTTTTTCTCAGTGCATGCATACATATACCTTCCAGTCTACAGGCACTAATATATAAGATCGTTAATCGAGAGTTACAGAAATTCCAGCGAGGTTTTCGTACTCTCAAGGGGAAAATGGCAAAATTGCCGCGTCAATTGCGCTTTATGCGCGCGGGAATTTTTCAGCACGTTCCGAAAGGCACCGATAAAAATACGATTATGCGACGTTCGCACGGAGGGCAAAACTGTATAACTTTTCCCTCCCCGTGCAATCCGTGCATTTCTTACGTAAGAGACTCGAAGGATACCGTGTGCTCGCGCCGGACTACGTGCCAACGGCGCGATGAATGCGGCTCTCTGGACATAATATTCCTCGGATTCTCGTGGAGCGAGAACTCTCACGGGAACGTTAGATTGCAATTCGCGAACGAGCGAGCTACAATCCCGAATACGATGGACCGTGATGACACGCGCGCGCGGTGAAAGGTGCCGGGAGATTAGTGTACGTGCAGCATTATTTTTTCGCGGTATTCGGTGAGATACGACCGAAAATCGGACGAACATATCTCGGCAATAAAGCGTTTTACGTATGTCAGATGTAAATCGGGGATATAATACAAAAATATTATATATTTATTATGTATTATATTATTATATTAATAATATAAGAAACATATTTTGTAAAATAAAAATATATATGTTTCTTGTATATATTATATACATTGCGTTTCTTAACTCTTATCAGTTTAAGGAGGAATTGCACGGATCAGCTATGTCAAAAGTTAATAAATCTAATACATTTCAAAATATTCATGAATTTAACATTACACAAAGCACACTTTCAATCTTTTAAAATGAAAAAATTAATAATTAATTTATGAGTCAAAGTAAAGATTTGCCCTGTAAAATGTGATTTAATCTAAAAATCGTAAATATTATTTTATATCAAATTAACTTATTTATAATGACTAAAATATACGAAATATTACGAAATTTTTATAGTGACTACACACAAAAATTTAATCAATTTTATATTTTTAAGAGTTTAAAAATGTGTTTTGCGTAATGTCAAATTCATGAATATTGAAATGTATTAGATTTATTAACTTTTGACACAGCTGATCCGTGAAATTTCACCTTAAAGCAACGACGTATTCTGACAAACGTTAATCCTCACAACAGCGATTAATTAAACGGCTATTATATTAATTGTAATCTCTGAAACTTGTATTCAATTTCTACTCGATTTATTATCGGTGATTATCGGAATGAAAAATAAAGGTAACCGATGCGCTGCCGATCTCGCGCAATATGACAAAGCGATCATTCGCGTGACTAATGAGTATAGTAGCATAATAAGCCAACTATGTATTGCGTCACGTGCTCAAGTATAGTGCGCGAATTATCTCTTATTAATTCTTAGCTCAATATCTTATACACTGATTACGAATCTCGAAATAATTCGATTTTGTAATTTATTGACGTTGTAATTGTGTGCGCGTTATGAAATGAAAGGTTGCGAGAGACGACGAAGTAACAAAGATATATCTCGGCTTTTTTCTCAGATTCAAACTAACTGGTCTATTCTACTGTATAATCTAATAAACTATATAAAGTAACTTTAGTGTAACTTGTTATATATATTTCGACGCGTTCTTCTTCGCTCTCGTTTACAATGTGGCACACTTTTGCCACTGCTCTACTTAAATAAATATTTCGTTACAACAACAATATTCTTGTTGAAATTAATTTATAATTAATAAAAACGTAACGCCTTAAATAGTAAACTCACGTGATGAGACTCGAAATAAATTCTAATATTATATTGTAAATATATGGGGAGACGAAATTTATATATAGACTGGAACTTTTTTCTCGGAGTAAAAGGAAGAATTTTGCAAGATCGACATCAAACGGTCGCGGGAGAATCGTAGGAGGCTCATACACACAACGGCACTTTATGGCCTTTGTATTCGTGAACGTTCTTTCGTATACATATTACGTCACGACTAGCACGCTAAAGTAGGTGACCAGCGGGAACGAATCCAAGATGTGAGACGAGAGTCGGAGACGCTACCGGGTGAAAGCATGGGTCATCGTAAAGGCCAGGCAACGTGTTCTAGCCCGATACATCGCATATCAGCTCACAATTACATGAGCGAGCGCGAGTAAAATTCAATTCTTTGGCGACCGAAAGTCGCCGTTTCCTCGCTCCTTTCCTTCGGACGACGACATTACAGAGCACATTGCCACATATTCACATATTGCGAACACTTGCGCGTCTCGTACAACAAAACGTGTCCGCGCACCGGGAATTATGCATTAAACGCGGATGTTCCGCGAACGCGCGCCGCGTTTTTTTTTTCCCGTCGTTCGCGACGTAATCATCTCCACCAACATCCTCATTGAGCAAACAGTATTTTTAAAAATATTTTTAAAAATTTATAAAAAACATTTTTATGAACATTAAAATGATGAATTGAGTCCTCTTTTAATCATTAAAAAAATGTTTATATTAACATTTGTTATTTCAAACAAATATTTCATGTAAAATAAATAATTAATAAACATTAAATAAATATTATTTTTACAATCAATTGTACAACGTACAATTAATAAACAGTCAATATTAAAAATACATTTAAAAAATATTGTCTCATCTGCTCATTGGGTCGGCTTGTCGTCTCCGATTAATTCATGTATCCTGAATTAATTGTATAGTAGTATGTGTGAGAAGTTTTCTCGCTCTACAAGATATGTTTTTTTTTTATCTGATACATTTATAATTACGTACACAAATTGGCGAATAAAACAAGATTCTGATATCAAGATTTAAATTTGATGAACTTGGAATGTACAAATATATTTTTCCTCCACATAATATTTTCACATTGTGTTTCCTCAGTCGAATATTGTCGTCAAAATACGCACTGTACAAAAAGAAATGTCCTTTTAAATATAAATTAAATATTAATAGTAAAATGTTATTCAATTATGTTCTTTTCGAAGACTTAATAAGCAATTATAAGATTTATAGATTTAATTAGCTGATTAATTATGCAGAATCAATGTATAAATATGAAATATGAAATAATTAATATAAAAAATCAGATACATAAATTTAACATACTTTGAATAATTATATAGCTTTTACAATAACAACCAATGGAATAAATATTGATATTTAATATTTATTAAAATAATTCTCACGTTATATTTCTTATAATTAGACATTAATAGTTAGATTTTACTTTCTCTCTTTTTGATTGTTCTTATACAAGCTACACATAATTATATGTTGTTAAAGTAAATAGGTTATTACAATTTTTTGATATCTAAAATTCTTTTACTTTTATGATTATTACAACAGTTAGTATTAAAGTTTTATATTATTATCAGCTTTAAAACATTTACATTTTTTAACTTGAATTTAAGTCTTACTATATTTATTTATAAATAAATATGCAAAAATTAACTTATTTATAATGTTGAATATACAGGAATGATTTTGTCGAATAACAATCTTGAGTGACATCTCGCATATAACCATGCTTTTGTCAAAAACGTGGAACAAAAAGTAACACACATTTTATATAATTAAAACCTATTTATCACAATCCAAATGTAACTGAGATAATTTAATCGAGATTGATCACTGATCCGAGATATAACCGAGAATACTCAATTAGGTTTGTTACACGTGAATTTGGCGCGAAACACGACCGTGTACCTCCATCGCGCCAAATTCTAAATCGCGGTACAAGCGCCATCTACCATCGCGCTCATCAGTTATACGCAAAGCTAGAATCTTCGACAATTTCACGCGAGAGGTGCTTCGCTCGTTCCGATCGGAGCCAATCAAATCGAAGAAGAAGAGGAATAGCAGTGCCCTTCGGTTTGATACTGGAAAATGGCGATCTGCGAGGTTGTTTGAAGCATAATTTCAGTAAACACACTCGCGGACTCGCAACTCGTTGGTTAAATGTGCCCTGAAAATCATGTGACGTGGACTGTGTGCGATGGCGAGCAAAGAGATAATCGGCCATCAGCAGCAGTTCGTTGAGGAAATCGATTATAATGAAATCAAAACTGAGCAGGTAGTTCTTCCGACGTATTCGTATTTCTCTTAATTGTCATGATACATCTCAGAAAATACGTTCTTCCTTAATTCGTTCGATAACATGCCGATCGTTAATTATCGCGATTGAAACTTGTTTTATAATTTCATCATTTTCACGGTGCAATCGATATATTAGCTAGATAACCTCAAACGAGAGAGCGACTATATTCTTGTACGAGAGAATACACTCTTAGAAAAAACGCAAGCTGTTAAATGACACATGCTTGTAACGTGCGATCTTGTTAAATGAATTAATTGAGATTTGCGTTCAAATTGTATTTGATCGTAGGTAGTCGGCAAAGGTTCCTTTGGAGTCGTTTGGAAAGGAAGATGGAGAGGACAGGATGTCGCTGTGAAACACATAAATACGGAAGGAGAGAGAAAAGCCTTCACTGTGGAAGTTCGACAGCTATCCAGAGTTGCCCATCCAAATATTGTTAAACTGTACGGTGCATGTACCAAGAATCCAGTATGCTTGGTTATGGAGTATGCAGAAGGTGGATCATTGTATAATGGTAATAGTTAATCTACAAATCTATCGATTAGTCCCTTCAATTAACACAAATCAATTGTATTAAAATTTCTATTTATACTTACAGTATTGCATTGTAATCCTCAACCGCATTATACTATTAGTCACGCTATGAGTTGGACTCTTCAGTGTGCGCTCGGCGTTGCGTATCTTCATAATATGAAACCAAAACCATTGATACACAGGTAAAAAAAATTAACTTTTGGCATTCTTGACAATGTATGTTTTGAAAAACTATAGAAAACTTGACAAATTTTATTTCACAGAGATCTAAAGCCACCCAATCTGTTATTAGTTATGGGTGGACAGATGCTTAAAATCTGTGACTTTGGCACAGCATGCGATTTACACACATACATGACTAATAATAAAGGCTCAGCTGCATGGATGGCACCAGAAGTATTTGAAGGATCTAGGTATACGGAGAAGTGTGATGTATTTAGTTGGGGTATCATTTTGTGGGAAGTTTTAGCACGTCAAAAGCCCTTTGATGATCTTGCGCCTTTGGGCGTTTCAGCCTTTAGGATAATGTGGGCTGTTCATGTAGGACAGAGACCTCCTTTAATAGAAGGATGTCCGAAACCAATCGAGGATCTTATGACCAGGTGAGAATTTCTACTGAAAAAACAGCACAGCTAATATCTATTTTATAAAATCTATTATCAGATCAAAATGTATATAGATATTTCTACACAGAACGGACAGATTTTTAATGCTTGTAGTTTGTTTGCTAAAAAATAATATAATTGTAAAAAATATGTTTAACTGTGTATTATAGTGTATAAGATATCTATTTCTCTCTTGTTTATATGTAACTTTGCTATATTTTCAAGATGTTGGCAGAAAATACCTGAGGAAAGACCTTCCATGGACGAGGTAGTAAGGATAATGATCAAGCTATCAGAATTTTTCAGTCCACATTTAGAACCTATTGAATATTCCTTAAGTATGTATATAATATATAATTAATGTATGATTTTTAATGCATTATATGTATAAATTATTATAAACATACATTATAACATATATGGAATGTTATTTGCTCAAATGATATTATTGCATAGAAATAATATATATAATGACAAATAATATATATTGCATTATAGGTTGCAAAACTGATAACATAGATGAGAATGAAGCATCAAGGGAAGATACACTAGATATAGCCAGTACATTAGATTCTGGAATGAACGGTTCCGTTGCGAACGGTACTATTTGTACAATTCCAAAGCCCTTAGAAAAAGCTAACAAATTCTTAAATGTAGAGAGATCATTGCCTTTTGCATTATCTCACGCAAGACCGTTCAGCGATACGCCGACGAATTTCTCGCCACGGCCAAATAATTTAGGATTTCAACGAGTATCTGATGAGTGTCTGGTATCGAATAATCATTTTCCTGGAAACGTGGATAATAATTTAGAACACGCTAAATCGTCGATTTCGCAAAGTGCAGCGGTACCAACGGCATACGACGACAAATTTGCCGCGCTGCAACGCAAAAATTACAATTTTGCTCCATTACATGTGGAATGTGACCCGGTTGGTAATTTCATCAATAGTGTAAACTTCAATAATCTCATCTTTATATTAGCTTCATTTGTGCATTTTTTTTCTATGTAATAATCATATCTTTTTCTTTGATTATTTTTTATTTATATTTTTAAATCTATGTATCATATTGAAATATATAAATATTTCTATTAAAGGTAATACATAAATATTTCTATCAAAAATAATTTTTATATACTATTGCATTTTTCTATGTTGCAGCATGCTTGGGATTTACCGAGCTCCTCTGACACATCTTGGGAAATTCCAAATAATATGGCCGGATTAGATAAAGTGGTACAGAAAACGAAGAAAAATATCCAAAGTAAGTGTATTGTGAATTTGATTTGTCAGCAAGTGTGAGCACATAAATACCGTTTTCACATAATGTTGATTTATCGATCAATGCGGGATTAAAAAGGCAGTACATTGAATATTGGAATGTTCTTTTTTAATTCTAATTATTATGTATATCTTTGGTAAACTTTTAGACTTTAAATGACCTAAAGTATATCTTTGATTGTAACTAATTGATATTGTGTAATGCGTACAAATGATCGTGAATGAGTAGGAAGAGTTTCGCGGGACTTGTACTCGCGAATACGTACCCGAGCCCTTCTCAGAATAGGTGCCGAAAAAAGATCGCAAAGGGGCTGCGGCACCAAACTGGCTGTCTATGCGAGACCTGTCTCTGTCGCGTTGAGAAGGCACATTGCCAAAAACATTAGAGACATTAGCAAGAATTATTTAGGCTTTATGCGGCGATCGATGTATGATTTATAACTGTACGATCGTGTTGAAATTACGCTGCGAGTCATCTCTACATGACGGAATAAGTTGAAATGTCGAGAAAACTAGAATTATGTCTATGTAATGATGCTATAATACATATTATGTGTGTATGTATGTGTGTATATAATGTCAGATGTTTACATTCACAAATATGTGATATCTGATTCGCAATACGATATAGGATAGGGAAGAAAAATTTCTAACGAATTTTTTGAATACAATTTATAAAAGCGTTGAGAGAGAACACACATTAAAAAGGTTTTAAAAAAGGTTTAAAGAGGTCCTAATATCTCAATATGTGACTAATACGTGGAATAACGCGGGATGTTTTAATGGCACACAATACCTTAACGCGAGCTGCCACGCGGGCGTTTTGAGCTTACAGAGTAGCGCTTTGTGGTACACGAAGTAGATTATTTTCGGCCTAGAATACTAAGCACTGCGGCTGAGTCACCGGGCGCCTTCTTCGACTTCGGGCATCTTCGTTTCTCTCGACTACGTTGACTAACGCGCATAATGCGTTTATACGTGTATGCGATTTATCGTAATTATTATGCGTGCGCGCGCGCGTGATAATTATCCCGTTTATGGAATATTGCTACCGGGATAGCGATCGTTTATCATACAAAAAATATTTTCCTTCTTTTTTGATAATTTATAATTGAATATATATTTGTGTGTGTGTGTGTGTGTAACTATGCAATGTAAATCGCAATCTGGAAGATCATTTATATATATGTTCACGTATATGTATACTATTATATATTAAGAATCAAAAGTATCTCTTAGCATGAGATGACATATGTAGTGCACAGAGTCGTACAGATAAATTAATAGCGGTCAATCGGAAAGGCGGTTAGAAAGAAATGAGCTCGACATGCTATATTCATCGAGGGTTCGTCGATCGACGGAGTTTGCCGGTGTATCCTGGCAAAGGGCCCGTGTAGCTGCAATAGCGAGTGCCGCGTGCACTAAATTTAACTGACGACTAATCGGTAGGACGTGTGACTCGCTTTTGATTGGCACGTTGCGACGGCGACGACGATGAAGAGGACGAGCGAGGAGCAGCAGAGGCGATTGTGGAAATAGCGGAAGAACGTTAGGAGGGGAGAGAGAGGATGATAGGAGGAAAAAGTGATATGCAAAGAGAGGAGGAAGACGACAAGACGAAAGGAATAAGAAGAAAAAAGAACCAGACACGAGATTCTCTCGAGGATGAATCAAGCTGCGGAGCGCGTTTTGTTCTTGGCTCCGCGTATACGAACTTCGTGGTGTTCCTCGTCGAGGAGTCAGGGTGGGGGGGTATTTAGAAGCAGGTGTGGCTGAGTCAGCATCCCCAATATAGACGTGCGTTTGTTTAGTAGAGAGCCGACTCCCTACGGACGAGCACGTCCTGTCGATCGCGCGGCTCGCCAAGCGCGCAATACGAGCTCGATTTTATCGAGGACACATCCGATCGATCCGACCGGGAATTGATTCCACTTGACACGGCCATTCCCGGATCATTCCATTGAAATTAGCCGTTATAGAGAGCGATATCGCCGTGATAACAAGAATTCAACTCTCAATCGCCACGGCAAGATTCCTGGTATCGCTATTATAGACTCGTCATCTCCGAGGACCCTTATCTTATCTCTCTAGAAACCCGACTCTAGAAATCTCTGTGATTCGCGAGAATCGAAAGAATTATGTTGAGAGGATCGGAGAATCGTGGACGTTAAAACGTCGTCAGCGCAGCTGCAGCTCACACAAGAGCGGCAGTTACCTAGGAAGATCGACATGTGCGACGACTATCCGGAAATCGTCGGCACCGACACTCTCAAGCGCTGCTGGGTCCTACTGCGTTAGTATACGTTTATTAGATTCTCCGCGCGAAGTCGTTTGCTCAATTACTCGTATTTAAAGTCTCAAGGAAACATGCATTCCTCTATAAAATTGTATTCCTCTGTATAAAATTGGTAAGAATAGGTAAGATAAGCGCGCGATAAAGTTTGATCGAATGCCATGATTCTAGAAATTTTATGAACGATAAAAATATGTAATTTATGTATAATGTTATGAGATATGAGACATTTAAGCTTAAGCTTTCAACATTTAAGATTCCAATACCATTGGAAATAATTTCGCGGCTGTCGACATCTGTAATAAATTCTACGCAATGCGGTGCCGCAGGTAGCAGCACTACGAGCGAAGATTTGGGCAATGTCTGCCGCCTCTTGGACGCCGACCTGAGGCCTCTCACGCCCGACGACACCTGCAAACGTTCGCGAGAGATCTTCGAGGAGCACAAGCAGATAGCACAGGAGTATCTCAAGGTGCAAACGGAAATAGCGTTGTTGAGCCAGCATAAGAACGAGATGTTGAAGAATCTGAGCATCGACAGTCTCAGGCAACAACAGGAGTTGCGAAAACTCGAAGATGAAAAGGTTTCTCTCTTTTTATTCTATATTTCATTCACACACTAGCTTGCGGCACTAGCTTAGATTCCAATACACGAGATTATTATCGATAACATTGCCTTTTTTGAAGAATCTCCTCGAGTTTTCAATCCCGAGAATTATTACGATTAACGCGATAACTTTCAGGAGTCTCTGCTGAAGCTGTGTCGCAATCTACAGCGGCAATTACAGATCATGAAGGATCAGAGGATCAAGGGAGCGTTGACGAATGCTGCTGCTGCCGCCGCCGCCGCCGCCGCTGCAACGCCGACGATAGGACCCGCCGTTTCCGGAAACAACGGTTGGGTGGTGGTACCGCGTCCAGATCCATCGAGGCTTTCTTGAGACTTTACGCGTATCCGAGGGTCTCAACAAGAATGTACTTACGTCACGTTGTGCAATCGGCCGGCGATGCGCGATGCGGATGGAATCATACGCATTGAAATTCCAATTCAATTTGATACGAATATAAATCGCGCCGCTTACTATCGATAAAGTCGTGGCTACGCGAATCTATATGGTTATCTAGCGAAAGACGATTTTATCACTCGACTCTGAATATCTGGATACGACGCATGGAAACTGTGTAATTGATTTCCGATCTTATGTGATATAGAAGACGCGGATTTCAGATACAGATTTAATATACAGGTACGTTTTTCATTAGATTTGTTGCAGAATTTCACAGTCCCATCTTTTTTTCTATCTTCTTGCCAATGCGCGTTCTCCTCGTTCGCGAAATTGATTAATACGGCAATATAGATCTTTCCTGTATGATAACTGGTAATAATATTTTTGAAAATGTAAAGGGAGATTATTTTCGATTTCGAAAGCCTCGGAGGTATCCTTAATAATAATAACACAATCTAGTCGCTTCGACGATGACTCATATAATTTGTCGAACTCTGTTTACATTTGACGTATAAAGAATGCGTTGTATGATCTTTATTATTTAAGCTATTGTATTGCCTATATACTGATCAAAATTATTTTATGTATTTTGTCGATTTGATTAACGTATTGGACACACAGAGAAAAGGACATTGCAAATGAGACGCAAATATCGAACAATGATCAACGAACATGGATGCGCCATCATTTAGATTATATTTGAATTTTACTTCTACGTACGATATACGCGGTACATATATATTTGATTGAATTGATCGTGTATCAGAGATATAATCTGTATACGACTCTCTATAGAATACTTATTACTTTTAGCCAATCGTGTTGCAAGAAACGGATTAAAATTCGTTTTTCTTATCGCTTATGTGCAACTGTTTGTTTGTTTTTTTTTTCTTTTTAATAGCTGCTTTACATTTCATCTAAATGCAAAATTGATATTTTCAACAATTACAACAATTATTGATCTAACGAATTGTAAAGATAAAGACACCATTTAAATCACAGTGAATTCAATGTACAGAAAAGTTTCTATTTTAATCGAGCCGAGTAAGCGGTCGTCTGAAATGCAAGACAAATATCAGGACAAATTGTTGCAAAGTATATATCAAAAAAATTGAAAAGCGCTGAAAAGTTAGAAAATAAATGCGCAACGATATCAATGACGATTGTATGAGCAGATTATCTTATCATCGAATTAGATGATATTATCAATCGAATATCATCGAAAAGGATATTGATAGAAAATTCTCACGCGTCAAAAATTGAGTAGCCAAAAAAACATTTCGGGCTAATTTTCTTGTTTTCCATTCCTATTTTAATTAGAAAATCTCTCGGGACTCCCCATTAAAAAACGCGATTAAAAAAAGGAGATAAGGACATATGACAAAATAATTACACTCTGACAGTTTTCCGGCGAGTTCTCTTCCGAGAATCTGTAAATTGTTACCTGAGCTATATGTAAATGCAAATGCATGTATATATACATATGTAAATATAATTTTGGAAGGTTGCAAGAGAGATTTAGTTTTTCTGACGCTTTTAAGATCTTTTGTACGATACCTAAGTATAGAGAATTCCTCGCTTCATAAAAGGAGATAAAAAGGTTTGCAAATTTATGTTAGAAGAGTAGTAAATTTACATACGTTATTAGAGATTAATAAAATGTGCTATTATAACGAAGTCATATTAGCACGTGTCATTCGATATTTTCATTCCTCGATCTGATTGGGGATTGAGGATTGAAACTGTTAAAATATTAAATTATATTAGAAATCAATCCTATCTTAATAATGCGAATATCGAACTCGTTTCTTTATAATCAGATTATCGTGAGATAATTTTATTAGCGCGTAGTATGCGGGTGTACAAGCGTATAAATTTTATAGTTGTACGTATCATAATAATCTGATATCGAAACACACGATTTATACATCTCACATAGTCGACGCAACGAGAGAACATGCAGAACGGAGTAGCGGTAAACAAGGATGTACGCCATCAACGGAATCAATAAACTCGTCCTAGTCATATGCACTCTGATATCTCGATGGAACGAGAAATAGAAAGGAAATAGGACGCGGCCGATCAACCGGGGAAATAGGAGGAGAGGGGGTGGGTTGCCAGGGTGGGACAAGATAGTGAATGAGAAGAGGGGTGGAAAGAAGGGACGAAGGGTATGAATAGAGGGTGCGAATACGTGGGCGTACGTTGGCTAGACAAGGAGATCGGTAAATCTTTGTGCTCTCCAGGAAAAAGAAAATAGAGAAAATGATAGAGAGAGAGAGAGAACAAGATTATAAAGCATGATTCGATGAGAATGACAGAAGAGAAGGGAGAAAAAAAAACAGCAGGTGGAATTGGCGAAACGGGAAAATATGTGCGCGCGCGTGCGTGGGCGCTCGACGAACGGGGGGAGAAAACAAGGGAAGCAGCGAGAGAGAAAGAGAGATACACGCCGAGGGGAAAGACGTGAAGCGGGTAACTGAAGAAGGGGTAGGGAAGATCGGAACTCTTTAGACGTCCACGGACCTGCTCGCGAGCCTCGTTCCCTCCCTTTAAGTTTCTCGCACGTTTTTTTCGCTCTATCATTTCTCCTGTTAGTTAGATCACCTTCTCCGTGTGGAGAATCCTGTAACGAGGATCATTCCAGGATGGCCCACGCTGCGTCCGACAATGTCAACGAGAAGAGCTATATCCTGGACGCGAGGAAGAATTTCGAGGACGTGAGTAAAGTAATTAAGAAGTCTATCTCGCCTTGTCCGGATGTGGTCTACCACATCGATCACAAACCCGACGTTTCCGGTTTCTTTCCACTTCCGTGAAATTATCTTGTGGCGCATGCAAAGCGACGGATCATTAAACGCGCTATAGAGAGAAATAAATTTCAGTGTCGTATTCTTTCTAACGTCGTCTCTTTCTTTTCCGAATTTTGATACACATACGTTTGACAGATCTCAGATACTCTATTGGATAGATAGTTAATACTGCATCGTGTCGTGAAATCCTGTCGCGTATTTACTTAACGAAAATCTACATCGGATAGTCCTGCATCTTTTTAACGGATGTAAAAAGTTACGAGAAAGTGTTGTTGCCGGCTGCGGTTACACGGCTTTCTCTACTTTGTTGATTTTTGATTGCGCTCTCCTAAATTGTGATTAAGCGCAGAGATATATATCTTTATTGTGTTTCACAATTGTGTTTCACAATTCGCTCGATTCTCATACCGCGGTATAATCGCGCAAGCCGAATAAAAAATACACAATTATGGGTCTTCTTACCATGGATTTGATATTTTCGAGAGATTAGCATTTTAATTGAAGTTTTTGTCGGCGCGACGAGATAAAGATAGACATTTTCATCCTGACGATTCAATTTACCGTGAGAAATTTCCGCAATGACATTTCGTTCAATATGCTCATTTCAACCGTGATTTTCTCTACAGGTTTCTTTGATATACTTTTTTATTATACATTCTTTTATAAATAAAGTTATCGTATCGGGATCTATGAAACTGCCAATAAAGATATTTATATGGGTGCATCCACCGTGTACCAACAAGCTGAACAAGCGAAATTAAAAATAAGAGACGCGTACGTTAACTTGTTGAGAGAAAAAAAAATAGGATATATATTTCGCATTTATAACACTGCCATACAATTGTCAGCTGACTTGTTTCGAAAATTCTCTTCGGCAGGGTGGCAGTCTCGCATCGGAAGAATCCTACGATGACATGAGGCGACTAGTCGGGGTAAGATATATTTCGTACGTATTTTCTTATTTCATTTACCAAGAAACGATTAATTAAGCCTTGTATTCAGCCTACAATTCGTTCTATAATTTGCGAAGTTCCGTTCATTCAATCGTAATGACTCATGCGATGCACGATACAATAGAGATTAACGTGCAACAGAAATTTCCATTAATCGACGCTTATTATTGACGTTCCGATGGTTGACTGACGGGAGCGATGCACTTTCGATATTCGTCAGTTGGCCTATTACAAAAAAGCACGACTTAATTGACATGTGCGCTATCATACTCGTTTTTATCGCGTCGCCCCTTTACGCTGCGGTATCGCTCCAAATTATTCCACCAGCTACCGGAATTATTTAACTCGTGCCTATAAGAAATAGAGAGAGAGAGAGTGCTAATTTACAACAACTCGCGACACTTTACATATATAGCGACACTTTGAAATGGCTTTTCGCGCTCGTGTCATTAATATTCATCAGCCACGAAATATACGGAACCTCTCGCGGAATATTCACGAGTGCGCGTGAATATGCGATATATTTTACCTAATTAATGTTACGCCGTATATTCGTATATATATATATTGATGGTATTCTCGCGCTAGTTACCATAAACGGCACTATGGTAATGTCGGCACGTGTTTGCGTAGGAGGAGGAGGAGGAGGAATCCGGCAAATTTAGCAGCCTACCGCTCGCGAGCTTCAACTTCATCAATTCCATCATTGGCAGCGGCGTGATAGGTAAATGAGAAACGAGTCGACACAATGTACAGCGTCTGAAAGTTATAATTTCGAAAAAATAAAGATAGAAAAACAAAAGACGAAGATACGTTTACCTGGAAGGATGATTTATGTTGTAATACTCGCGAAGCTTAGGAAACTGCGTCTCTAGAGATCGATGCAAATCTTTTTAGGAATACCGTACGCTCTACACCAGGCTGGCTTCGGTCTCGGCATCGCTCTGTTAATTTTGGTAGCAGCATTGACCGATTATTCGTTGATCCTCATGGTGCGAAGCGGACATATTTGCGGCGAGATGAGTTATCAGGGTCTGATGCGAGCGAGTTTTGGCCGCGCTGGATTCTACATTCTCACGGGACTGCAGTTTTTCTATCCGTTCATAGGTATACACAGCAACATTCTACCAAATGCGTTTTTTCTCTTCTTATCGATGTGTAAAAAAATGTTTTTAATGTTGCAGCAATGGTCTCTTACAACGTCGTCGTCGGCGATACAGTCACAAAAGTCCTGATAAGGGTAACGGGGATGAACGAGACAAGTATCTTCGCGCATCGACAAGTCGTCATTCTTCTGGCGACCCTTGGCATCACCATTCCACTTTGTCTGTACAGAAATGTCGCGCGATTAGCGAAAATCTCCTTCCTCTCTCTAGTCTGCGTCGGATTCATCCTTCTCGCCATCTTCATCCGGATGGACAGCATGTCCGCTATGGTGTAAGCGAGAGTTTCACTTACCGAAAATGGAAAGGCATGATTGCGCTCCCGTTGTAAAATCGCTATGTGTAACCATATAGGCCTGATTGATTTGCAGTCCAAGTCAGAACGACAGCTGGAGATTCGCCAATTTGCCGGGGGTCATTCCGTCCGTCGGTATAATGGCGTTCGCCTTCATGTGCCACCACAATACCTTCCTAATTTACGGCTCGATCGAGCGGGCGACCCAACAAAAATGGGACGTGGTGACACACTGGTCCCTCTTTACGTCTTTTCTGATTGCCGCGACCTTTGGGATCGTCGGCTACGCCACCTTCACGTCGTATGTACAGGGCGATCTCATGGAAAACTATTGCTGGGATGACGACCTGATGAACTTTGCCAGGGTCATGTTCAGCGGCACTATACTGCTCACTTTTCCGATCGAGTGCTTCGTTACACGTGAGGTAAACTCCTCTCCTCTCTTTCTCATGTTTTTTTGCGCATGCATGACACATGACATTGTCGTGCATAATAACTAAAAATTTGCAAACAAATATGATTATTATTACATCTTGCATCGCTTCTCAGGTGCTTATGACGGCGATCAAGGGCACGGACGAATTGGAGGGACACGAGGCATATGTACCCAATTCGGACCGCAAGTACCTGATAATCACCTTGACGATAGTATCCGCGGCATACCTGATTTCCATGTTGACGGATTGCCTGGGCGTCGTCCTTGAGCTGAACGGTATCCTCGCCGCGGTGCCGCTTGCCTACATTCTACCCGGTCTCTGCTACCTCAAGCTCGAAGAGGGGCCCATCCTCTCGCCCAAAAAGCTGCCGGCGCTCGGTCTGATGACGGCCGGTATCCTGGCCGCTATCTCGGGTCTCCTGCTGCTTATAATCAACAGCAATTCCTCCGGTAGCTGCTTTCACGGTAAAATAATGCCGTATTGCGTCAACAATACGACGATGACGACGACGACGACGACGCTGCAGCTCCTCGACGTGACCACAATGTCCATCAACACAGAGTCTGCAGTCTAAGTTTGACAGACGAGCACGGTAAAAAAACCTTTAGTTTAATTGTAAGTCTGCCAAATTTTCGAATGAAAGTATATAGCGCGATTAAGTTAGCGCGTACAAATATGTGCAGAAATAGTCCGAATCAACAGGATGCAATCGGTAATATTCAATCATGGATACAAAGTAAGACGACAAGTACGCATGTATAACGATACCTAACCGACGAAGGAAATCGGAATTATATACATAATTTTGCTTTTGAAAGTTCCGAAACACGAGATTTTGTACCAAGCTCGCAGGAAGAAGAGCCGAAAGACCATTCAGCATCGACGCAAGGCTTTATCCGTGAATGAATATACCGTTTCAACATGAGACTTATGATACATTACATGGAAAATAAAACTACGCAAACAATTTACAAATAGTTCCAAAGAGAATAGCGATTACGCAGCGTTCTGACCGACAAATCTTACATTACGGAGATATTTTACGATGCGCTTAATCTTAATAAAACAAGCTTCAGTATCTTGAGATTTGAGAATACACGGGACACAAATTTATGAAAAAAAAAACAAAAAACAGTACTTTACCATTTACGTTAACGGATCGGAGATATTTAATTATATCGAATTGTTTCCTCCACTCATCTTCGCGATGTCATGGTGAGATTGGGAGATCATATCGAACACATACTCGCAATACGAAATCAATGCAATACAGGATTCGGCTTACAAGCGAGAAATCCGAAAATTGGCAATAGATGATCGTTCTTTCTGCCATTTAATAAAATATATATAGTCCTCTGAATGTTCATCGTACGCAAATTTATCGAATTATGGAGTAAAAATCATAATTTTTCAATATTTACATAGTTGCGTGCATACAATGAGCTTGAAATGTTCGCGAGTAAAGATACTTGATTAATTTCTCGCGACGCATATTATTAGAGAGACAGAATTTTAACGTACCAATCGCGATGATTATCGAACTTCCGATATCATTATTATTGATAGATGCGTAAAATATGATTCTTATATCTAGTCCTAATAAAGTTCCAAGAAAAAATCTCCGTGGTTATATAATGCGTGAATTTTAAATAATAATTATCGTGATTAGATAATTGTGATTAGATAACTAACGTATAGAGAGAGAACGCGTATAAGCTAAAAATCTCATTATATTTTTAAAAGAATGTTGAACAGACAAACGGTTTATAAACGAGGATATGTATATGTATATGTATATATATATATATAACACATATATACATACATCTGTATACATACACATACATATTATATTTATATTTTCTCTTGTTAAGGGACTAATGACTAATATATTGAATGTTGAAAAATCAAGGGATATATAAATATTTTAAATGCTCATAAATGTGTGTGATAATTATAGTTGATGGCTTAAAAAGGTATCGTATTATTTCATCTCTCGCACAATTTGCCTTATCTTGCCTAAGATTCTCGACACGCGTTATATTTTCTTGAAGGAAAAAAAGCAATCAACGATCAGTTTTAGTCTTTTACGAAAAGAACTTGTAGAATCGTATTTAAGAATATTTTCTCTTGCGCGTACATAAGCTTTCTGGATACAATCAAATATTATTTGCAATGTGAAAAAAATCAAAAAGAATACAGAGAAATAAAATAGACTCTCGCGCTAGTACAATCATTGTTCAAATTTCATATTCTTGTTTGCAAAATTTAAATGATTAAGATTATACGGTGAAGACTTTAGAATGTTGTGTTTTTATAGCTTAGAGAAAGAGAAAGAGAAAGAGAGAGAGAGAGAGAGAGAGAGTTAAGATATCGATAATATAAAATCACACAAAGCCACAGTGAAAATCACGACACAATCACGAGGCGAAAGTAAGTTTCCGCTTCTTAAATGACGCTTACAGACGTTCACACTGATCAAAGACCACATGTAAGAGGAAAGTATTTACCGCGCATGATTCGCGTACCATAGCGTGTAAGAATCAAACATGTTTACCTGTTTAGAAATATATTTGATGAATCTATATAAAAAAAGATTATAAGAAAAGCCTATTTAAGATAAGAAAAATTATTAAAAGGGTCTATATAAAATTGATATATATTAAATGAAAGAGGGATACATCCCTCCCCCGTCCCTTTTGTCTCTCTCCCCCGAAAAAAGTGGAGTATATATTATCCGCGAATGAAGAATATAACGCGCGCAACAGGAGACAAGAGGATATATAAAGATAGATCCGTATTTAAAAAATATATATCTTCATATATATTTATATGTGAATTTGTGTGGTTCGCGTATGCTATCACGCACATACACACACGCCGTTCCGTGAAATGTTTGTAAGACAAAAAAGTAAATGCCTCGTCGACAACATGTGTTGTACGCATTACGTTTTAAGTAATTATATATATATTTATATGTACGTGTGCGCAATACTGGCAATATATTCTTTGTACACATGTATGTATACGTGTTTGGATATTTTTAATCGTTGCGAGATAACTAAACATGTTTAGCAGAGCATACAAAAGAAAAAGAGAGAAAGAGAGAGAGAGAGAGAGGTCTTGCACAAAAAACTATTATCATCGTTTTTAAAATCTTGCGATCGTTTCAAGTTCCTGAGCTGATCTCTCTCTTTTCAATGTTCGCTCGCATGTTTAACTTAATGGTTCGATAAATAATTATGTGGTTGTGAGCTTTACGGTGTACACTCGCGCCGTTATACTACGTAATGACGTTAAAATTATCTTTATTGATTTAGATACCAAAGCAATTCGAACGCGTGGATGCGACTGAATATGATTATGTGCGAAGCCACATATATATACACGGATACTTCTTATAATTAAATATTTCACGCATGAGGACTCCGACCTTTCTTTTTTCTTTCGCTTTCTTAATGTCATGTGCTAGGCAAACGTATAATTTATTTTTGCTCTATAGCAACAATAAGCCGCGTATAGATTAACCAGCTTTGGCTGTCCTATGATATTATTTTGATAAATATCCACAAAAGGTTTCCATCCTGAAAAAATATATCTCAAAAGCAAAGTGATCGATGAGATGTTATCTCTTATGGATATTTACCATTACTTTATATTTATACGATGCTTTCTTTACAATATTTTGCCTTCATAAGTCGTATCACATAGAGAGAATAGAATTTTAACAGGATGCATCTGATACCTATGTGCAATTAAAGAGCCAAAGATCAAAAAAATTTACAAACAAGACACTATAACGCGATAGCAATGCGATGAATTTGTTACAAAGCTTTAAGATGTTAAGTTTGATGACTTTGCGTTGTAAAAAATGATATGCTAAAGTTAGTATCAGTCAGAAAAAATATTCCAAGTGCCAACATCGATTCGAGAGAGAGAGAGAGAGAGAGAGAGGAAAATTTATTACAGGTGCAATCTTAACGTTCGTAAAAGTAAATGTATTATTGATGATAATTTGAGATGTTAAGTGAACTTTACACGCGGAGCAATCGTTAAGGATCGTAATATAAGAGCGTAATCTATTTGTGTATGCAATATTAGTTCTACTCTATGTATGATTACATATGTGTGTGTGTAGTTTCATGCTGACTTAATTTCTCGATGTGCAACCTTTGTTTCGACTTGATATTAATGTTTCCGAGAAATAGATTTAACAAAGTGTTTCGAATCGCGGGTAAGATTTGCAAAACATGCGAAAGTTTCGTCTTTGAATAAATTTCATTCTCCTTAAATATCTTTCCACGCGCGTGAAAGTAAATATACAGAGAGTAAAATTCGCAATGGAAGGAAAGTCGCGTGCACAGGGGGAGGGGAAAAAGATGAGAACCGAATCGACAATTTCGCAAAAATGGGAGACGTGTTCGCGGATCGAGAGTGTGAGTGTGTGTATGCGTGTGTGTCGTGCGTGTAGGATGAGTCATTGTACTATGTAAATGGCGATCACGCGTTATTCCATCGTCTCGCGGGTCTTCCGACCATATTTATTCTGTGATAGATGCACGCGTTTACGAGGAATATATATATATATATGTATATACATATATATACTTATATATACATATATGCGCGGGTGTGCGTGGCGCGCGCCTACCCGCCGATGCTGTACGATGCTATATGATGTTACCTAAATTTATTTCGCGGAATAAAAAACAAATTTACGATTATAAACGAAGCAAAGAAACGTTCTCCGTGCATGTACGCCTGTTCCCCCTTTTATTTCTCTCGCTTGCAAAAATTCATCTTCTCTCCTCCATCCTCGCAACAGCATTCAGGATCCAGGAACATGATCGTTTCGACGCTTTTTTTCTCCCATCGTGACGATTTATCAGGGTTTCACCTAACGGTATAAGAGAACAAGAGTGAGTGAAAGTGATTAGAGATATATTTAGGCGCGTTTCACCGCGCTAGTTTCCAGAGAAAGCGAGAGCCTCCCCCTCTTTCTTCCCGCGATATATATATCGAGTCAATGCTCGATTCTTCGCTCGTCGAAAGATTCTGAGAAATTACGAATTCGCGGGGATAAAATTACAGACTTACCGTTTCCGTTGAAATTTTTCCATCGCGATGACAGCGCGTTTATTGTTACTGATACACGATATGACACGCGTGACATGAAGCGAGTGACCACAGCAAAATTGCCATGACCCTGTCCGGTGGTTGCGCGCGCGTTTCAATCGCCCTCTCGTTTCCCGCGCGTTTCATCGATTCGAAATAAAATTCTTGCGGGCGACCGTCGCGACGCCAGTCGTCGGATCCACCCCTGACGATTCTCTACCGATCTACCCTGACCTCTAGTCTTTGATTAATCTCGGTCGCAGTATTTGGCTCGGTGTGACAGCTACGAAAGAGAGAGATAGAGACAATTTCGAACCCGCCCTCGATCATCGTACAATGTCCTAATTCTATTAACTAGAAAACGAAGACGAGGATGAAGACGAGATGTCATCTCGGAGCATCGCGTCATCTGTCATCCCGATCCTGAGCACGCTGTCACGCCGTCACGTCGCGTCGCGCGCAGCCACGTCGAAACAGCTGCGACGCGTGGACCGCTGCGGCAACGACAACGGTGGTGGCGACGGTCGGTGGTGATGGTGGCGACGACGGTGGCGAAGGTTAATCACGGGCGTTCTCCGACTACGAGCGCGTACGATCGCGACGGCTGTTTAGTACTCGTCGCGTCGATTAAGGATACGGGAGGGAATCGCGCTGCGCGACGCGGCCATGCTGTAAGTTTAGAAGGAGCTTCGTTGACGTTAATAAAATTCGCGTGCCAACGCGTCGTCGGTCAGTCATGGACAATGTGGCGTACAGCCCGGGCGGGCTGGCGAGATTGTCGACGTTGTTGGGCGCCCCGGAGGCCGCGCTGCGTCTCCTCGTCTCCATTTTACTGGGTAAATATATAACGTCTACGACAAATATATATCTTCATTTTCTTCCTTCTCGAAAGAGCATATCTGCTATTCCCTCTTCTCCCTTCCTTTCCTCCCTTCCCTTTCGCAAATTCTATGCCCTCGGGTAAATCGATCCGCGTTCATTCATAACGTTCCGTTGCTCGATCACAACCGGCGTGTGCTTCTCTCCCCCCCCCCCCCCCGTCCCTCGCTTCTTAGAGATTCCCTCGGAGGGAGGGGAATCACCCTCCGCACGACGTTACATACACGTCGCGCATACATAACTAATGGTAATCTATAACGCGACATAATTGCATACACGAAGGTTACTCATATTTAATCGTTAATAAATGTACATATGTTTTTCATTTCGATACGCGCACACATATATATAACTACGTGACATGTGCGCGGACTCGGACTTTGGGCTATGACGCCAGGGAACACGCGTCTCGTACCGAACGTTTTATGTATTAATTAATATATATGTGCGCATAAAAATACTCGTACTTTTAATAACTCGTACTTTAATTCGCTCGTAATCAACAGCTGTTGAGTTTTTTTCCTCAACGATAAGCATAATTATGAATTGTACACGCTTATTCACTCGTAAGATATGCAAACAAAATATATATAGAGATATGACAACAAAATACACGCGTGCGTGCGAGACGCGTTTATTTACAAATGCGTTACATAAGTCTCGTATATAACTTGAAATATTTCAGTGTCAACAAACAGGTGCAAAATCTATTTCGCCAACTGATAAAATTTGATAAATTCTCTGTATGTTCTCTTTCTCACTCTTATTTAGCTTTATTTAGCATTATTAGATATATACAAACAAGAAAATGTAGAAAAAAAATACGTAGAAAATTATCAAAGCAGTTATCAATCATATGAGAATATAAAAAAAAGGATTGTGACCATGACATTTTTCATGTGATTTCAGGATTTCCCGTTGCCCTCTTTCACAGATACACGCTCTACGGCAAAGATCCCATTCGTCAGCACTTATTTTTCATAGCGTGTGGTCTGTCAATTGGTTACTGGAATTACGGTAATTCACTTGAACAATATCTCAATTTGCGAAGAATAAAAAGGGCGACGCATGCGCGCGTTTACTCGTTTTCTCTCATTTTCTTTCACAAAAAACAACTTTGATGCATATTCTCTTTTCGCAGATTATAACATACTTCATTCGTCAACGGCGGTATGTGGAACGTATATGATCTTAAAGATCCTCGGAAGTTCCGGATTATTCGTCATTGTGACGTTCCTCTTCAACATGTCGTATCTACTTTACGGTAAAGCAATGTTAATCTTACGGCAATATTGATGCCAACGTCAAGAGCGATATATTACGAAATGGAAAAAAAAACCCGTCTACGAATGTATCTACGTATATTTAGATAGTCACGTTTTTATTTAACTCTTGAGCTATCTATCGGACACGGTGACCTACATAGTATCAACGTAAAATTGAAATGAGTATACTCAAGGTTTTCTTTGACAATAAACTATTCGGTTAAACGATAACTGTTCACTTTATCATCTTTTTATCGCTGCAGCATTTTTATATTACAATATTACTTTGACTGTTGATGAATGCATATATTGAGAATTTGTAATTTTTTTTGAAAATCTGTCATGGAATCATTTATTGAAATACTGTATACTCTTGATTTATGCGAATTTGGCGTCATGATTATAAATATTTTTTTTTTTTTTTTTTTTTTCTCGATTCGATTATATATTTCAAGCAATATTACGAAATATTTAAATGAGATTTTTTTTTTAACACAGGCTATTACACTACCAGCACCCAAGATTACGACATAAAATGGACAATGCCGCAATGCGTGCTGACCCTTAGGTTAATAGGGCTTGCATTTAATTTATGGGATGGTAAAAAACGTGACGTACGAACGCTATTTTTTTCGACAATTCTGTTATTTCACGGTGTTATTCCGCGGCGTAACGCAATCAATGGAACGATTATTGTAGACGGAGCTGTCTGATAGCCAGAAACGAGTAGCCTTGAAGGAACAACCGTCACTGTTAGAAATCGCAGCGTATGCTTATTTCCCAGGCGCTTTCCTCATCGGGCCGCAGTTCAGTATGCGAAGATACTTGGACTACGTCAATAGTCGATTTACCGAACGCGTACGTAAATAAATATTATTATCGTATATAGAATCTTTTAAATTGTAAACTAATACACGAGAATATCGCGAAAAATATAAATCTATCTTAATAAATAGCATGATTTGTATTTTAGGATTCGATAACCGGTGCCGTTAAATTGCCAGATTGCGTATCGGCTGGACTTTCACGAGCCTTCGTCGGATTTATATACGTGGCGATATTTCAGATTGGAACGCTCTACGTTTCCGATCAATATCTCTTCGAACCGTCATTCCAGAAATTAAATTTAATAAAAAAATGTTTGCTCATCGGGCTGTGGGGCCGAATCAATCTCTACAAATATGTCAGCGTCTGGTTAATCACAGAAGGGGTATATAACTTGCGTTTGCATTTTTTTGTTGATTATCTTCATCTGTAATACATATGTGCATCTCGTTATCTCTGATTGCAGGTGTGTATTACTTTTGGTCTGACCTACAATGGAAAAGACTCCGAAGGTCGCGTTAAGTGGGACGGTTGCGCGAACGTTAAACTGCGAACGTTTGAAACTTCCACACAATTCAATCACTATATTCTCTCGTTTAACATAAACACCAATCATTGGTGCGCGGAGTATATCTACAAGAGGCTGAAGTTTCTGGGCTCAAAGATGCGCAGCCAACTAATGACATTGCTCTTCCTCGCCCTCTGGCACGGTTTTCATTCCGGATATTATCACTGTTTCTTCATGGAATTTCTTATCATGTACTTTGAACGAGACGTAAGTATCGATCGCGATTCATAAAAAGTTTATCGATTATTTGACTTTTCCGATTTACTTCCCGTTTTCTTTCTCTTTTTCAGATCGGACCAGCATTACAGAACAGCGAGAAAGTGCAAACGCTGTTGAAAACTCGATGGGAAGCACGCTTACTCGCTTGGATCTTTCTGAAGCTTTACACTTTCGTTTTCATGGGATATTGCCTTGTGTCATTCGTACTTCTCTCGTATCCACGGTATAATCAGGTCTACGCAAATCTGTATTATTGCGGACACGTGTTCTTCTTTTCTTATCCGTTACTTGCGCCGTACATTAAACGATTAATTGGTCGAAGACACGAGCGTCAACGATCACATCAAGAATAAAATCACGCAATTTCGCTCGCCCCCGTGATAGTGTGGCATGTCTCTTATTTTTGTCGCGAATTGATATCCGAGAAGACATATAGCTATGAAAGCAATGGATGGACCTCGGTGTACTAGTTATACTAGTCTTTAATTTTTAAAAGAATGTGATAGCGCACATCCAACGGAAAATAGGATGTAACATATATATAGAGCACATTACCATCACTATCGCGTTTCATAATAGTTGAGAATTCTATAAAATGTAATGCTGAATTTCCGTTACTTGAATATCTCGATGATATCAAGTTCCATGAGCGAAAAATTTCCTTCAACAATCCTGTCGCTTAAACGAAATAGTGTTGAAATATTATCCTATATAAGTGAGGATGATACTACTACGGACGTTTCCATTTACAAATTTAACACATTGTTTAGAAAAAGATTCCGCTGTCGGGGATTTTGAATATTTGTTATTTCGAAATTTTTACGATCTTGGTTTTACTACACAATTAATTGTGAAAGTCCCAACAATAATTTTAGATATTTCAGTATTGTTTTCGTACAATAGTATGTTCTTGCGTCTTCAATCCTGTCATTTTCCTGTACGTAGCGTATTCGATCAGTCAAAGTTTTGCTCATTTGTACATATTTCATCGAATCACCTGTTTGAGGTATTGCAATTTTTGAAATGCGTTACGCTTTTTTCATAATAAGAACAATATCGTAATTGCAGCGGCTAGATAAGTTAGTAGAATATCATAATATTCCCGAGAGATTCGAAGGAGAAAGCAATTTATGTATTTAGATTGCAATAAGCATGTCCACTCACGAAAACAGAATCAGGGAAATTGCGTCGCAGAGGGATATCTGGGGGATAATACCGTGATTTTGTAAGCGCGAAAGTAGCTATGTAACATGCAAAACGACATAGATCAGTATTTCCAAATACGCGTTCCTCTGATGCGCGATTGAAGTATCTATTTTACCGTAGTAATTGCATTTAATCAATCTAAATACGATTTAACCGTGTTTCGCTATAACTGCTCTAGAGATGTAAATACACACAATATATAATACAATGATAATAGATTAAAATTGATTCTAGTCGAGGGTATGTACATATCTTCTTACAATGTACACGCGCTTCTTTAGATCAATATGAAATAACGATTGAGAAGCGATTTTCGATCTAATATATACATTCGCAGTTATTTTTTTAGATAAAAATCTTTAACAACGATCTACCTATCCGTTTTGCGATAGCCTTGCGGCTCTCATTACGCACATATAGCACTTGCCGCGCGTCAAAATTTAAAAATATAGTTGCTACCAATCCAATATTTATATACACATATATATGTATATAATATGAAAGATAAGGAAAGTGCCCGGATACTGATATATCCTACGATCGCTCGATCTTCTATCGTTCGTACTTACGAGCGATCGAATTATAGATTGACGACAAATAATTCATAGCATATTTCGCCTAACGGTCTTAATTTATCGATCAAAGGTACTTCTGACATAGTCGCGCGTACAGGTTTACACAGAGTTTTAGATACTTGAATAAAAAAGAATATATATATAACGGAAGCAGTCAGGAATTGTATACACGGTTGTCGATAGCGTTTATTAGAATTGAAACTAATAGAAGAACGATCTAAAATTGATTTTCGTAATGCAAGATCCTCAACTAGTTAATAAGCGCAAATGCATAAATTTTGACAGTATTATAAGAATCATGATGACATATGTTTCGTACTTAACGCTAATACGAAATTCTAATCGGATAAGTGCGCTCTATTGCATATATCTTGCTAATATCTTATCTGAGAATCTTACTATTTTTTTTTTTTTCAAATGTCTTTAAGAAAATCGTTATGGCAAATTGTCGCAAATTTAGTCATAATAATGATTGTGAGCGAAAGACACATTTCCTAGTGATACAGATTCTCGAAATTTACTTGAAATATCGTTTAAAGTAGAAAAAAAAAGAAAGTAGTTAGCGAGATAGGACTTGCGAGTGCGATCTAGATCTATCAATATAATTTCGATTCCGTACCGTATAATTAATAAGAGAAGCTAGAACGAGAAGCTCAATCCTAAGAATCTGCGAAACAGAGGATAAAATTAGTAAATAGAGAAAGGCGATACACACGAGGTGATTACATATGTAATAATACTGAAAGTTGATATAAAAAAATGTATATTTACTATTATTTTCTTAAAAGATACGAAAGAAACATCGACGTCTCGTATATAAAATGATTTGTTTTACATTTTTCTTTTTAAGAGAGACACGAGCTCTCGGTCGTACTCGGTACTCGGCCAGTTATTCGAAGATCACGCATATGTATCTATACATGTGCATGCGAGTAGACTTGGCAACACGAAGCGTCTGCCTCTTAAGCATCTTTTAAAGACCATGCGGTCTATCTTACGAGATACAGGCGATATATATACATCCCTCCTACAATTATTAAGATCCAAGTGTCCGGGTATCCGGGTTCACGTCCGTATCATTGTGAGAAAAAGAAATGATCGAGAATAGTCTCCAAGAGATAGAGAAACCGTCTCCGTGCGAAGGTGGCCGAGTTTCGAGGACGGTATGATACACGATTCTCGATTTATTTTAATACGGTCCGCTGGGACCCGGATGTGGTGCTCCATAACTATCGATGGGTTGTCCCGGTTGTTGCCCCGGTGGACCATATTCACCGCCCTGCGATTCCTTCTGTAATGCGTAAAAATAAATAAGTAAAGAGAGAAAGAGAAAGACTAAACGACACACACGCATAAAATATTTTTATGTTTGTAGTCCGTCATGCGATCGTGATCTTTTCTGCGATTGCAATTTAATAGAATTCGATAGATAATCTCTCGCGTAGAGATTTCTCAGTAGCTATGATTGATATTGTAAAAAATATTCCTTGGTTCCTCGTTACTTCATTAACAATAAGCGAAATGCGTAATAATATAATTAAATATTTTTTTGCAACAAAGAACTGCAGCGCAATATAATTAATAGTTGTATCTTTCGAAACTTTGTTCTAGACATTTTAACAAGTTCGCTTATGCCATATCATTATAACTGAAGAGAGAAACTTTCCACAATTATTCAAATCGCCAATATGGCAATTTTTTATACGAAAAAATGATCGGATTAACTAAGCGAGGCCGTATACTTGTTAAAATATATGACGTGCGGGTATCATTTACGACGCATCTAATATTCGCATTTCCATAACGCCTACACAAAAAACGTCGCCTCATTCGCTTTATCATCCAAAATGAGCAATTTACATTCCGTAAGCGAAGCGCCACACTTTCCTCTTTCGTCATTGAGACATTCCCCGATCCGGGGAGAAATGTCTAACCGAAGTTCAATAGACCGCTTTGGTAGCGGTTGTTATACGCGCATTCGCTAAACATATCTCGTTTTAAGTGACTGAAAAAATTGCACAATATATTAGACTTTCATTCTTCTTACGGAGAAAGATATACGTGTGTGTATGCGTGCATTCGAATTTGATTGCACAAAGATGAAGCCGAATCGCGTAAAGAGAAGAAAGGAAGACATTACCTGAGTTTTATAGCGAATGAAGTAGACCTCGGGCTTGCTGGGATGCGTCGGCGCTTGCGTCGGAAGTACGACGTCGGGCGCTTCTTCCGGCTTCTTGACGAGCACGTAGATCAACGTCTTCTCCTCATCCGGTTGCGGTAGCGGCGGCAATTGCGGCGCGGTCGGCGTGGGCGGCGTCGGCGCTTTGATGAAGACTATCTTGTAGTGCTTCTGCGGCGGCTGCGGCAACGGCACGTGCTTGGGCGCTTTGTACTCGGGCGCTTCCGGCGGCGGCACGTGGACATATACATGCTTGTGGACCACCGGACTCTGCTGCGGTGGCCCGTAACGGTCAGGGGGTGGTCCGTAGCTACCGGACACGCCACCCCCGCCGGAGGGTGGGAAGTACGAGCTCACCGGTGGCTCCGGCGCCGGTTTCGCAATCACCAACACGATCGCCGAACAGGCGATCACAAAAATTGTGCTCTAAAACGGGAGGAAAACATCGTTGATATATCATTTGTGTCAAATAAGCATGTAATTAATAATTAACAATTCATTAATTTTGTATATATTAATTTTATATTATACTAATTCATCACATTACGCGTGGGAGTTATGGCGAAGCGTAATACATTGCTAAAATATGATGATTTATTAATAAATTGTTAATTATATACGTTTATTATATTTAACACGAATGGTATGAATACAAATATACATTATTTGTGCATGTAAATGTAAAAAAATTACATCGTCCGTGAATAAGCGCGCGAAATCGCATTCGCTTGTTAAGGAGCTAATTTGCAATGGATATTTCTCCATTTGCGCGATCCATCGCTATCAATGGTTTGTTCACGACGGATTGTTGCGCGATGACTTTTGACTCGCAGCCACGTAATCGTACCATGTATTTCCCGATAAAGCTACAAGAGTACACGACTCACAAGGAACTCGTTAGCGAGTTTTTCTCAACGAGTCGATCTCTTTGAATCAATGTCAGTCAACTGATCGCGACCTCGCGAGAGATCTCATAACTCGGATATCTCTTCACCGCGGGGCGTGGGAGAGTACATTAATCTAGAATAGCATTTTCCATTCCCACATTTCCCGGACGGGGCATGTCGTGTTAGCGCGCGGAAGAGAAGACGATACGTTGTCGTACGTCAATGTACGGGCGATAACTCACTTCGCTCGAGCGAAGCTTCCTACTCACTTAACGACCCGCGATCGTTTAATCATGCTTTAGAGCGACGCGCGGTGTCGGGAGACTTTGAGAACAAGAGCGGAGCTGCTTTCGCTATTTTCCTCGACGCTATAATTATCGAGACCGTGTCGGTGAATAAGAGCGGGCGAAGGAGCGGGAGGATCCCCCTTTTACTTTTACACCGCGCGACCGCGGTTGCGCGTCGCTTCGAATCCGCGAGATTTATACGCTGCGCGAGGGCACGCTCGAGAGACTTCTTTTTTCTCTCTCTTTCTTCATGCGGGAAAACGCGTCGGGTCACTTTCCATCGCCTGAAAGAAAGAAAGAAAAAAAAAAAAAAGAAGCAGACGCGCGGTCACTGGAACCGATGATGTAAACGCGCAGACTTGCAGACGGAGTAAGATCTGTATTACTCGAGACGCGAGTAGAAAGCAAATATCTTCCGACAAATATATCTCTCGTATAAATTTGTTAATCCTATACTTTGTTCTTGTTTATCATCGACGCAGCGAGAAAAATGATCAACGAATGAAAGGAAGAAACGAAAGAGAGGAGAGATCGGAATGTATCGGTGACCGCGCGATTTCGCAAGGACGAACCGAAAGTTACTCTCGTTATAATGCACCTGGTCACTCGATCGCTCGTTACTCGGTAAGAAGATTGCGCCAATCGACGTTTAAACTTAACAACCGGTTTTGAGCGTCCCTTGAGAGAGAAGAGAAGAGACATATTTGTTTAAGCTTCGGATTTATTGCGCTTCAAATATAACTAATGTGAAGACTCGATATGATAAAATTACACACTTGTCCTGGAAAATATATTACGCAGCCATCGTAATAAAATGCCTCTTTACTAACACGCGATCGACGAATGATCGTAAATAAAATGTGTACGCTGTTACGCATAGAGTAGCGTGACGCCTTATACTTTATTGCGCTTAAATGAATCACCCGAGCGATATAATAATTCAATTGAAATGTCTCTCGTCGAAATGTCCGCGTGTGTAACGTTTTTCGAAAGAGACGCGAAATGACATCGATAATAAAAAAAGAGAAAAAAAAAAGATAAGCATCACGCAAAAATATCCCTAATTCGTCTTTGAAACTCGGAGGGGCCCCCGAGCGGAATATCGAATAATAATTAAGGTTGGCGCGGTTACTTACTGCGGCGGTCCGCATTTCTCCTACGTGTGTATCGGATACAGATGGTACTCCCGAAATGTAAGGCACGTAGAAAAAGAGGAACGTGTCGAGCGGGCGGCGTTTCACTTGCGAGCTTTCACGCGTGTGGCGTGCGGTCGAGACTCTTCCGAACTTTTATAGAGGCCATCGAGGGGATACGTACCTACCTACCCGCCTGCCTACCTACGGAAAAGGAAGGCACAGGAAGGTGGTAACATCGTCATCGTCGTCGTCGTCGTCGTCGCTCGTCGTCGTTACGCGCGCGCGGGCCCTCTCTTCAGGGGGTTTCTTCTTTCGCGTCGTCATCCGCCGCCTTCTTCTCGCCGCCCGTTTCAGCGGAGTTCGACCCGACGATCAAATCCAGAGGTGCGACACGGCAAGGAGAAAATGAAAGTACTCGAGATGAAGATTCATCGTCCCGCGGAACAATTTGCCGCCTAGCTGACGTTGCTTGACCGACATTTTTCTTCCGTATATCGTTGAGATGAAAGTCACATTTTCTCACAACGATTATATCGATGACAATCCGATCCGGGGCGTTTTGCGCGCAAGCGAATCTGAAAATTTACTATATTATTAAAATTTACTATATTACTATTAATTACTATTAATTATTATTGATAATATATATTTGAAACGCGCTCACAAACTGTTTGATTTTTTATTTACTCGCTTGTATTTGCAGTAAAAAAGGTATACATATCTTATATTTGGTACAAAGTCAATTATATCAAAATCGACAAATTAAATATATTAAATTCACACACGGCTAAATGTTTCGTTTTTTAAGGGGGCATACCCGTTTAAATCTTCGAGAAATGAGTACATTTTCTAGATTTTTTTGCAGCACGATTTGCTAAGATTTTTTTTTTTTTACAATATTAATACTATCTTATTAAATACTTAAATAAAAATTTCCAATTCAAAAAAATTTTTTTTTTGAAGTTATGCGAATATTTGCAGAGCTCCTCCATTTTAGGTGGCTGCACGATGTGCATGAAAACGTTCATTTATCATATCCAAAAATACAAGTTTTTTTTTATTAAACATATTAATAGCTATCTGTTAGCCAAGCGTTTCTTCAAAATTTTAAAAAATAAGAAAACGATTGCATGTTGAAAAAAAGTTCCTTTCTTAAAAAAAAAATCCATCTTTTTTGTTTATAACAAAAAGATGGGGAATCGGATTAAAAAAGGCTTCGTTAATAGATGCAGAATCTTATTAGGAATTCGCATGCAAAATTTGAAGTCAATCTGTCGAATTGTAGCCCGAGTTTTCATGCACACCGCGCATGAAAATATAAATTTGCAAATATTCGCATAACTTTAAAAAAAAAACTTTTTTTAAGCTGAAAATTTTTATTTAAGTATTTAATAATATTGTATTAATATCGTAAAAAAATAAAAAGTTTTTAATCAAGTCGTTGCGCTGCAAAAAAATCTAGAAAATGTACTTATTTTTCGAGAATTCAAACGGGTATGCTCCCTTAATCTCGCCTCAAAGTAATTACGTCGAATTCTATCCGACACCGTTTGTGAGAGAATGTAAAATAATTGGAACTGTAAGAGTAAGAATTTAAAGCGAGATGGAGATTTTTGCAAGTAATAAAAATAGTATCATTCTGGAGATGATGCTGGAATATTTTTCACTTTCTTCGTATACCCCGACGAGGTTACCGCATAGTACGCATTACGTAAAATGCGTGAAGATATTTCTGGACGACAGTGCGCGCGCTAGACATCGCAAGTTAATAAAATGCTATACTTTACTATTGGCGGGGGACGCATGAGTGCTGATTTAAATATCCGATTAACTCGGTAGGTGCCTAAAATGCTGAGTTATAAGTGAGTTATTCATTGCGCATATATCGTAATCGGGAATGCCGTGCGCGAAACCGCTCTTGACATAACTACCTACTCTCGATCGATGGTATCAATGAATTATTCATTATTTACTCGTGGCAAACCGGAGTTTAGAGGCGCATGTAGACAGAAGATGTAAAAAAAAGAAAAGAAAACTGCGGCTACTGTGTGCGTATGCAAACCGATCCGATACTCAAGTAAAACTCATTATCTACACACACACCTGGAGGGAGAGACCCGCTACCATTACACATGTATATCCGGACATCGGACGATCGCTTCGTTACCCAATGTATACTTTCTTCCGCGAGTAACGCACGTACATGTACTTTGTTGCCGTGCGATTATCCGGTACGTCGTCCACAGTTTAGACGCGGGAGGAGAGCAACGGGACGTGCAAATTCGCTTCTTACCGGTGGTCGTCGCGCGTTACGCGATCACGATGTTGGAGGGATATGACCGGCATTCGTAAACGTATATCGCTGGATCGTGATGCGCTTTGAAGAGTTTTGATATGCGTCGCACAGCGCGGAGCATTTCACTCTGATTTCATCCTCGGGCGCTTGACCGTCGAGTTATTTATCGGATATACCATGTATGTGGCGAACGGAAGTTATACATGCGGGGACACGAGTCGAGGATGAGTAGGTCAGTATGGTCCTCGTGTGCCAAAATAAATAAATGTATTGAAAAAAATGTTTAAAAAAAGTTAAAGAGGAACGCCAATTGCATGCATTCGTCAAAAGACAAATTGTACAAAAACACATTGTTTTTTTTACTATTTAATTCTATCTTTTTTATAAAAGTTATGATGTAAAAAAATGCGTCAATTAGAAATAAAAAATTATACACAATATATCTATTTTTGTGGGAAACTTCCAAAATGTATGTTTTTTATATAAAACATTTTTAAAGATGTGACAAAATATCATATGTATATATGAAAGCGATAGTTAATTGAATATATATCGCGTGCAAATTTCACAATAAATATGTATAATATTTTGTTTCCAATAGGCGCAATTTTTTTTTTGTATCATACCTTTATAGAAAAGATAGGTTTATAAAACTCTTTCCAAAAATGTGCAATTTTTCAAAAAGTATTTTTTTTAATTTAAATAAACAGGCACACAGTTGTAAAGAGGTTCAAGATCTTTTGAAACAATGTGCCATTTGTGAGATGCTTATAATCATTTAAAATTTTTTAAACTGTAGCTATTCTACCGAAAGAGATAAAGCGCGATTAAATTTGTTTCAATTATATCCTTCTCGAAAACAAAGTTGACATATTTCATACAAATCAATCGGATACAAAATAAACGACTCATCCCGTACATAATAAAAGCTCCATATAATAAAAACCCAATTAATATGCTTAATTTGTCAATTTAGCGTGTTAAAAACTCGATCGCTCCATCTAGGAGATTCGATACTCTTTAATTATGCGGGTCGCATGTAAATATACGATCAGATACGCGTTTACGACAGATATGTAAAAGAAGGGACTTAAAATATGATTCTTCGTTTCGTTCGTAGAAAGCTCGCAAAGAGAATTAAATTTCGGTGATATCCGGTGGGAATTCGTTTTTCTTTTCCTTATCGCGATCGCGTTAAGTACATCTTTGCGACGATATCAGAGCGAAGGTATCAGAGCGAGTCGCGGACGCATAAATCCGACGCTACATAAATTTTACGTCGCTTCTCGCCTCGGACGCGAGTGAATGTACTCACTGTGTAATATTACATGTACATGATATGACGCAGCTGTCTTAGCGCGCGTGCACATATATCATTTATTATTATATGTAACTTGCGAGTATTATATCTAACTCTTTGCCCAGCCCGATGGACGAAGCGATTGCGTGACTTAAGATTGCCTCCCTCTTCTCTCTTTCCTTCATCTATCTGTACAATCGACGGTTATTTTCCCCGGTTATTACAAACGAGAAATCATAATAGAAGCTCATAAACAATAAGCTATAAGTGATATAATCGGCGCGATAATTCGCTCCCAATAATTCCTGATTCGCTTTTACCTTCGAGATAAGAGGTCGATTACTCAATGTTTATTCTCGTACTTGCACAGCTGGAAAAATCGATTCGCACCTCGACAAAGTGCCTCGCGAAAGCTGCGGACCTGTCACGCGCAAATGTCGATTCTAATTAATAACATTATGCGATTTTTGCACGAAAGTTACGCGACTAATGGCTGTCGTCGCAGTCGTTGTGGACGACGAGTTTCACCGGCGCCGAGAGATTAGGAGAGATCGTCGCCGGGATAGATTGGAGTTGTTCTTAATTTTGGACGACTCCTTCGGATTTCCTTCTATTGTACCATTCGAGTCCGCCTTCTCACCTACATGCCTCGGATACACCTGTAATATTTAAGATCAATTAGGTCCGCATTTTTAGCACGTTCGCTTAACGAGATTTCCGATTTCTCGCTTTGCAACCACGAATTATGAACAAATTTTTTCCTCGCATTATAAATACGATCGACTTAAATTAGCTATTTAATGTTAAATGTTTGATAGTACGATTAATGAAATATAAAAGAGAAAAATCTATTTTTAATCTTCCATTAATGCAAAAAGCGAATAAAGCAAAGTTTTCAGCAAAAATATAATATAAATTTTGTAATAATCGATCAAAATTATTTATTTATTCACGAATCGAAAAGATAGTCATTATGGTCTTTTCTAAATCTATTTCAAATGCGAATCGCAAATCGCTGTTTTATCTTGATTTATCGTTCAAAAGAAATACACATAACTTTTCGCTTTTGATGTCATAATCGAATGCGTAGAGTCGCAGTAAGATACTAGAAGCATCTTATAATGTTAAACGCGCGCGCGTCTGGATATCTGCCAGAGGATCCGTATATAACACGCAATTTCAAAAGAATAGTCCTAAGAGTATAAAAACGGTAAAAGGTTTCTCCGTCGAAATCGCATTATACACTTCTCTTCTTTCTCGCCCACCCTTCGATATACACATATTTACACCAATCGCTAGAGATCCAAAAATTCTTAGATAAGATCGGGCTCTAATCTTTCGAAACTTCGGGGAATCTAAAGCTAGCGCCAGACTATGCGCGTATTCGCAATTCGTGATTCGTAATTTGCGATTCGTGAACGGTATAAAGAAATCTGATTTGTTGAATTTGATGAATCTTCCATTCACGCTATTCACGAATTATAAACGAATCGCGAATATGCGCATAGTCTGGCGCTAGCTTAAGAGACTTTCGACGGCGGCTCTCAAGGCTCTGTCGGGATTATCTATCTATTAATACGTCGCCGACATTTAAACGATATCGATTACGGGACTGGAAGCTCTCTCTCTCTCGTGACCTGTGACCCGCGTGTAATGTATATGATAATAATGGAGATAATAATATTTATCTCGGAGAGAAAGAAAGCCGAGAAATTTGCTCGCGCGTGCCCTTGGCCGATATATATATACATATACGTGGCTCCGGCGTTTCGATTTCAAAATTTGTTCATGTCCGTGTGAAAAAAATCGCACCGACGAGTCTCGATTGGCCCGATTGGGCCTCATAGGTCCTCAACCATGGCCGCCCACTTGAACGGACGGTAGAGCGCGATGGGTGAAAGTCAAACTAATTACGACGAGTACACACACCGCTCCGCGTTGCAAAACCAACACCTCGCGATTCGCACGTCTCGCGAACGAATACCGGACCGCTAAACCGGAACATGTACTACTGCGGTGTACGGCTTATCTCTTCTTTCGCCTAATCTCTCTCCGGTAATCTTCGCGAATGCGGTCGATCCCGTTTCCCTTTTTCTTTTTTCTCACATCGCTCGTTGTATATAACTCTTACGTGTATTCCTCCACCGAGTCGTTACACATACTTTCCGCGGTATGCGAATACCGTTAAAATCTATTCGAAGTATAGATTCTCCGAGTTAGAGCGAGAAAGAGAGAGGCGTATAATTCGTCATATAAATGTATATCGAATATCACGAATTATCTGATCATAAAAACGGGACACCTGTTCGGCAATGCGCTCCTTCATCTCGTGCCCGATTTACCGGATAAATTTCACCGTACAAATTTCACCATACACGCATAAGATCGTTGAAACTTGCGAAAGCATCAGAAAACTCTCAAACGACGTGCTGCGATAAGTCGCTTTAATATATGGATAGATCGGTGTAGAAGATTTTGTCATCTAAGAATATGTGTCGCAAACATATCTATAATTCATTGAAAAATGTTTTATCCTTACATAAAAACTAAAAAAAAAAGAAAAAGAAACAAAACAAAACAATATGTATGTTTTTTACATGATGAGAATGTTTTATTTTATCGCATGTGATAAAATACTTATTTAATTACACTCGCTTTCATTCTACGTAATTAAGAAACCAAGAAATCTTCGTCTACATCTATAAATGGCATAATTATCAACTGAGCGTTAAATTAATTTTGAATAGCATATAATTCTATACTTATATATCGAGATGTCAATTAACCTGCGGCGGGCTGGTCGGTAGAATCATTCAATCAATGCATCTTTGAATATCCGAAATTAACGCTTACGTCGTACTGTTTCATTGTACTGATTTGTTTTGACTTTCTATATTATACTTTCGATTACGTCGCCATTTCCATGAAAGTCGACGGCTCGAATTGGTGGATTGGTAACGCTAATTTCGCGTATCATTTGCGCGAGATTATTTTCCGCAGATTGATGATAATTACCATGCGATGATTGGAAGAGGAATCTTGGAACGATCAATGGGGAGTACAGCGGGTATCTTGGATATGAACGTCACGTTAGGATGATCCAATTTGGCGAGCATTTCAAATATTAGGATCAACGTTCGTCGATAACACAAAAGCGTATTGACGTCTCGGCATCTTCGTTTTGGCTGGTTTCTTCGGCGTATTGCTAGAAGTCAACCCGACAAATCTAGGATCGGAGGATCCCTCATCCTCTTTTGTTTCATCGATGACGGAAGTGCCTCGTAACTTCGACATAAACCAGTCGAAAAAGCCGCTATAGCCAGAAGACGCTTCTTCGTTTAGAAGCGTGTGAGTATTGCTATTCTCGGCATCAGGCAGAAAGGAAGCCAGACCGCCAAGGTCGTCGAGGAAACTCAGGTCGATCTCCTTCTCCTCCTTGGTCGGCGGGTTCCTTTCGTTAGTCGCACGGGAGATTTCACCTTGCGCGACCCTGACGTAATTCCGCTCTCGGTGGTCGCCGCTGTCGGTGCCGACCTCCACGTTAACACGAGGTACCTCACGCCGTGAAACCTTGTCGCCGGTGCCTACCTGTTGGCCTGCGTAAGGTCAAAGAATTCTTATGAAATAATATTTCCACTTGGCAGCGCGATCTCTTCGCATGAAAAATCTTTCTCTCTCACCTCTCGGTTTCTCCCCATCGTCCTCCTTTGTGGGTAACGGCCGAATTTCTAGCGGACTTATCTCGAGTCCGTGATACATGCGGATCTTCCATATCGGATACTTTCGTTGATCCAAATTCGACGGCAAGATAATCTTGGAATCCAGTGTCGTCGGATCCGACCACAACATTTTCGTTACTAGACGATGACCCTTGATAATCTCGTCGTTTGGCATCGTTCCTTCGATTAACCAGATCGATTGCGCGACGATACAGCCGAGGAATAGTAATGGCGTAATCTAAAGAAATGATAAGCAGACTTTAATACAGACGTTTCGTAAGACCGCTTCTATCGCTTGGTATTCCCGGCGTTTCACTTTTAAATCGAAGGATGTATCTAAATTACTTCCGGTTAATTCATAAATTACAAACAAATATCTCGACAAATGATGGAACATTACTGATTCCATAAGTATGTCTACATATATATATATAATATATGTACATTTGCATAGATTCTAAACTCATTTCATTTCATTCTTTCGACACCATGAAAGCGAAAGCAGGTCGGAATCGACGCGGTTCACCGATCTGCGATGGACCATACGGCGTCTCTAAATACGCAAATGTATATAGGAAATTATGCACATAGAGAAATAACATAGAGGAGATCGTAACCGCGAGTGTATACGTGTGTGTGTTAAATTCAATAAATTCTTCCAAGCGTCCAAGTATTTATTAGAGACTCGCATGCGTTACACGTATTCATTCATGTGCTTGCAAACATTCGTACGACTTGCAGAACGACTTGCCGGCTTGACAATGAGAGATCGTCTCTTATATAACAAAGATACCTTTCTCCGATATTACTCCGTAATTGCCGGCAAAATTATATGAATGGATCGTTTCTGAAGCCGAAAGCGCTGCATGGAAGGTCATTATTCGTCGCAAATGTGCTTCCGGTGTATTCTTTCAACATGAACACGCTCGGTCAAGATTAACCGAAGAGACGAGATTTGAATGTTTAATCGCGCTATATATATATATATATATGAATAGTTGTCGGGATTGCTTCAATTAGAATACTAATGTAAAGAGGAAACTTCCCAAAAGTTACAACTACACACACTTCCGCGTGTAAACCTCGTTATTCTACTTCTAAGTAGGATCATAAGATCTCGGAACTCGCCAGTAAAAAGTATATATACGATCGCTCTCGCAAATCCGTACTGGCAGTTATGACTCATTAGGCCCAGCAGAATCTAATTATGCTATGCGATTAGCGTAGCGAAGCGAGTGCTCGAGGAGAAAATAACGTCGGTAGGTCTGCATAAAACGTTACGTGTCTTCGTCGCCACGACATGTTCTTCTCTGCGGAGTATCTTTGCTAACCGTGATCCGTTAACGACGATCGAAAAAAAGAAAAAAATGTATGACGATAAAATTAACAAAATATACATCGCTTAAAAAGGAAAACGCTGACTGATACACTCGCCTTTATGCATCTCGCGAACATGTTTCCTGCGATGTCTCGGTTTGCACAAGCTCATGACCGATCGTCGACTGACTTACTGATCATCTCGAAACGCGAGACTTCGTTTCTTTAGATTAGACCTCGTTTCCATTATTTCGGGCTTTTCAAAGCGCCCCTGAAGGACATTCGTTATCTCTCCCTCCCGCGCGTAAGAAATATTTTCTGTACTTTCCTCGGAATTCCAATCCTCGCCTACCTCGTCGGGTCATCACGGAATGCCTGCCTTCTCCGCCGCCGTAGATTTACGAGCCGTGACTTTCACTCGGAATGCCCTATTACGAGCAATAACGATAGAGTAATAACAAAATAAAATGTATAAAGCGTAAGAAATTATCCATCATATCGGCAAGTATTCTGACTATAATATAACTATATAACCCGCGCGAGGCGATTTTAACGTAAAGTTTACGTTAATTCTCTCTGTTATGTGTTAACTTTTAAATAAACGAAACGTAGAAGACAACTAATATAAGGGCCACTTCGACGACCAAAGTCCGATTAATTTAATCATTGATTAACAGGGCGACTAAAAGCAGAATTTTAAAATTTGTATTATATTATATATAAAAATTATATCGTTAAAAATTTTTATGTTGATCGCCTTACGATTAAATTAATTGGAATTTGATCGAAGTGGCTCTAAAACGATGCAAATAGAATTCTTTTCAACGGCTCCCTCCCCTCCTTCGTCATGAAAGAGATATATGCTCCTCGTTTTCTAACAGTGACAAATAAAATTGTCGTGCGAATATGTCATATCCTTAGTCGTCCTTAAGACATACACACGCGCTGGGAAGAGTTCTACGGCATATATTACAATTGATTTATATACCTTTGTGCATTTGTCCAGACGATGACTCACCAATTATAAATACGTATAAGAGAGAACATATCCGCTCTCGCGGAAAGATATTTCGATATATCGTCCTTTTTGAGAAGAGCCCTGAACATTGACGCGGAAACTCATTTTCGCGTATGTTCCCACTTTGGACAATTTTGTATTTATAGCTGTAAAAAGAATTATAAAAATTATTGTAAAATTAGTTTTTATTACTTATTCATAGGAGAGGGGGGAATTTTTTAAAGGATTTTCCGCGGTCAGTAATTTTTTTTTAGATAATAGAGAAAATTGACGATGCACATATTTTAATATTAAAGCACCGCATATATCAACTTTGAATGTTACATTGATAAAAAAGGTATCATTCTATAAGATTGCTAGTACATAATTTATTTGTCAGCATATATTGCTTATCGCCATTATCAGCTTCTTCTCGGAAAATGCTCCGTCTATAAATTTCACAAGTCTATGGTCCAAAGCACGAACTTATCTAAAGGAGAACTCGTTCAAAATGGCGACGTACTTGGCAGTTGTCTGTTGTGCATAATAGGTTATCGAGGTGGTGTGCCTGTATGTGACCGATAATCCTTGCGAGATTCCACGAGAAGCTAACGTACAAACACCCGAAAGTAGTATTATGATCATTTCCAGATAAGATTCGTGTACACGGCGCGTTTTAATCTCCCGTATATCGTGCGCATTCGGAAGATAATGGCCGAAAATGTCATCGCAAGCGACGACGAGGTCCTGAAAAACATTAAAACGCTCCTCTGGGGTTCGACCGTCAAGGAGGACATTTTTAAGCGATGGGCGCAAGGTAGCAAAGAGTATTACCCCTTGGACGATTGTATTTCTTAGAGACAGTGACCGATAAAGTCATGCACGTCATATTGCGCCGGTGTAATGGCCGATGAGCAGTGACAATTATAATAATTTTCACTGAAGACGACTTGAGAATTCACTTTTCACGATATCCTTCATGTTGTTCCGCAATCTCTTCGAAGATTCGCTTTACAATCCTATAAAATTGATCAATTTGATACTTTAATACTGAATAATGTTGAGAAGATATGCATGTGTTTTACATAATATAGAGAATCATATTATAGAGCTAATGAAATATTATAATCTTGTACTTTTCTAGATACATAGCTATAATAATTATCGTTTTTATATACAGGCTTTTACTTCAGTGTAGACGAACCTACCGCACTTGTACAGAGAGAAGGGGGGCCTTGTGCCGTGATAGCCTCGGTTCAAGCATTTATCTTGAAACAGTTACTATTGGAAAGCGATGTCATAACTTGGAAGACTATCCAGACTAAGAAGTGTGATCAATTACTTGTAAAAGCTATGATTGAAATTATAAATCAAGCTGTCAACGTTCGGGATCCCAAGTATTCGATAGTATATGTCAATGATTCCAATGACTTTGTATCCGGTAAAGAAAGCTCTAATTCTAAATTGACAGAGTCTGCAATAAATTCAGCCCAAGATACTAGCGAAGCTGATCAAATTAGTGAAACTAATTTGGTCACGAAACAAGCGCCATTGGAATCGGAAGTTTTTCATTCTCAATTAAGGTATGTTCATGCTCTAAAAAATATATAAAAATATATATATATATACCTTTAACCAATGATGGAACTATTTAATTTTTTATTATTTAGTCATTAATTATATTTTACTCATTGCATTTTAGAATATTTATTACAAGAAGCATCGACGATGTAGAGGATTTCTTCACAGAACGAATTGGAATGTTGAAAGATCAGTATGGCGTATTGCTGCTACTTTACACAGTGATGAGTACAAAAGGTGCTTCGGAAATATGTCTTGAAATGTTGGAGCCCATAGAACCCATGATTGACTCCACCTATGGATATGGAAGCCAAAATTTAATAAATTTAATGCTCACTGGCCGAGCAGTCAGTCACGTTTGGGATCACGATCAGGACATCAGTGGATTAAGTGAGATGGCTGTTTTGTTTTTCTTTAAATACAATATAACTATTCATATTTCGCAACTTCATGTATCTCCTGATATATATATATATAATGAATTTTTTTCTGCAGTAATATATAACACATTATATATTTCGCAGAATTACGTGGCATAGATAAACAGAATAAAGTGGGATTCTTGACTCTATTGGAGCACTTACGTTATTGCGAAGTGGGAACATTTCTAAAGTCACCGTCGCATCCAATTTGGGTAGTGGGATCGGACACGCATTTAACCGTGCTCTTCTCCACAGAGAAGCGATTAGTGAGTCCGGAAACACCGGCGGAACAGGCGCGAAGAATTTTTAAACGCTTCGATCCAGAAGGGAATAATTTTATTGCGGCAAATCAACTGCAGAATGTAATGGCGGAATTAGGGCTGGTAACTGATGCAGAATAGTATGTGCCCTCTTTCTCTCTTATTTTTTTTCTGTAAATTATTTATATCAATACTGCATTGATAAAACTATATAAAAGTGCTAAAAACTATATTAAATTTGACCATCAAAATATTTTCATGATTCAAAATTGTGGAATATTGTTGCAGTGTCAATATCATAAGAAGGAAACTGGATAGTGAAAATCTAGGAATAATACTTCTCGCATTGTTCATGGATGAATTTTTCCCTGAGGAATCATGCATGTGCCCGGACACATTTGTCTTGTATCATTACAATGGTCTGCAGCGTAGCAATCCGGAAAATAGAGTGAAGTATCATATGGGACAAGCGGTATTGCTCGAGTGCACTGTGAAGTGTATCATGGATAGCAATCCAATGCTAACAGTCCTGCAGACAAAGTGGCCAAGGATTGAGATACAGTGGGACATAGGACGGAATCCTAGTTTAAATTAGAATTTATAAACTGTAATATACATACATACACCAAACACAAACACAAACACAATAGGGCCGAACGCATAGAGTGACTTGACCAAGCGCTTCTATAGAATATCGTTGAGAGAGAGAATTATCACTTTAAGATCGTAGTCTAGTCAAATCGGCCATCCTCTGATTCGTATTGGTGAATACTATAAAGGATATTGATTATAACACCTGCCAATAAAAAATATTATTTATTTCCATGGAAATATAATAGTATCTGTAACACACATGGTCAAAATGAAAATCTATTTCAAGTATTTTATGTCATTTAATGTTAAAATATTGCACCGCCCTGTCTATGTAATGAGGTTCAAGCTTATTTTTATGAGGATGTTTAATATGTATTATGAAGACTACAATCTCTATTTCTCTAATTATATATTTTGCACAAAAGAAAATATTTCAATGAAATTTCTCAGCAGAATAGAATTTAACGATGGTCGATTGCAAATAGCTTACTATAATGACACAAGACAAGGTTCTCAAAAGGATTCTACTTATTCGCGCAGTTTACTTCATAATAAAATTATTCGTTACATTTTACGGCGGAAAACAATGGATTCTCTAGGTGAGCTAAAATAAAATTCATTTTGTTGTACATATTATTAAATGATAGATAAAATATACAATATATTATATAATATTATTATATATTATATAATATTATAAAATATTATATATGCGATGCCATCATTTTGAGACTTTGTGTGCGCTGTTATTTCACAATTTTTGCCATAAATATGACTTGAGTCATGTTTTAAGGAAAGCGCCTTTTTAATAAAATTATTAAATTTCAAATATTTTTTTCTAATTGCTAGTATAGCAAGCAACATAGCTATGAATGCTATAAAAATAAATCTGCGAGTAAAATGGCGCATTTTCGGAATATTATTTAATAATTTTCATTTATAATTGTAATTTTTATTTTCGATTATTTGGTTAATGTTTATTTTATATAACTATTGCATAAGCGCAGCAATGTTAAATAAACTTATTACTTTTGATTAAAAATAGTTATCGCAATTTGACTTTGTCTTGCAATTATTTGCAATAATTGAAACCCAAATTAAAAATTTTCTGGTAATTAATCGTGAATTCCATTACTTTTTATCTCGTTATTCTTCAATTATATAAACATTATTTTGATACACTAAAACAGATCAGTTTTATATGCTTGCAATTTTATATTTAAATTTACTACTGTATTAGCTCTACTTCAAGCGTATAATATTTATTATTATTGTCATATTTACATTGTATAAATCAGGCACGATCTATACCTGTACTATTTGCAGCTAGTATGTATAGAATGGTTTGCCTTATACTACTATATAAAGATTTTTATTTACTAAATTTTAAAATATGTATACATTTTAATCACTCGCATCGTCAACTTGATTGTCATCTCCACCACTTGCCGCAGATGTTTCCGAATTAGATTCTTCGTCTGAATCTTTAAGTGCCTTTCCTTTAGAATTCTTTTTGGGCCTATGCGTTTCAATGTCCGATCCTTCCTCATCCGAGGAATAAATATTTGAAGCTGCAAAGACAATATTTTTTAAATATCGCAAAAAAATTATTGCGCAATATTGTTTTTAATATACAGAAAAATCAATCTAACATGATTTTATGTAAGAGATATAAAGAAATAGATGATGCATTTTGAAGTTATTTCTTCTAGTATAGTACACAGAACTAACCTTTAGAAGGAATTGCTGCGATTCCCTTTTTATACTTATTTTTTATGGCTGCCAATGAAATTGCACCCTCATCGTCAGAAGCATCGTCATGATAAGCGTCGCCACTATATGCTCCTGCGGTACGGTTAGCGTTCCTGATACCACTAGTACTCTTCTTCGTTTTGTTTTGGACTCGCATGGCTATGCGTAGTTTCTCCTCCTCTTTCTAAAACAAAGAAAAAAGATACAATAAGATATTGGAGCAAAAGAGTGTGCAGGACTCAGTTTAATTTAATGCATAAAGAAATTGTAATACCTTTATCATCTCATATCTGTTCTGATCTGGATTCATTCCCACTTGAGAAAGAACTTTGATGCCAGAAGTCTTTTGCGATCTATCAGCTAGAGACATAGTCATCTTCCTGTGCGTGAATGATTCGGTAGAGTGCGGTCGGAAAGTTAATTTTGTTCTAAACACCGCTTGGCCTTGTAAACCGGTACCTTGGCGAATGTAAAGATGGTTATGATCGCCTTGTAAAGGCTGTTTGTATACGTCGAAGATTTCCGAACCCAGATGCAACGACATGCTACCGTCCGACCACTTGATGAATCTCGCATTGCTCTCTTTCACTACTTTGCCATCGTCGTTAAACGTTTCTTTCCATCTCAATGTATTTTCAACTTTGAGCTTCAATCGCGCTCGTCCTTCCTCATCCAGAGTTTCTTCCTCGTCTATTTCATCCTCATAGGTGTCGTGATCAAATGGCCTTGTTTCAACGGACAAGAAATTCGGCAACTTTACAAAGTGAATTTCACGTCCAAGATCAGTAGTAATTTTCGGAATTTCTACATCGATTCTAGTTTCTGGAGGCGGTTCTGGTTCTTCTTCTTTGTCTTTATCTTCTTCCTACGCACAAAATACGTTTAACGTTAGAACATCCGCGCTTCTCGTCAAAGCCCGCTTTTCTCACCTCGGATTAAAAATAAGTCGCGTCCTGAAAACTCATTGCGAAAGGATATAAAGATTATTTTCCTGTCTCGCCTCGTTAACTTACATTTTCGATGATGGCGCGATGACTCGGACCTTCCCCACCGCTCTCGGATCTGCCACGACTATGACTTCTGCTTCTACTTCTACTTCTACTTCTGCTTCGACTTTTGCTTCTACTCCTACTCCGACTACGGCTCCGTTCTTTCTCTTTCTCTTCTTCCTTCTTGTCCTTCTCGTCGTCTGTGCTAATGTCACTTGCATCACCGAATAATGCGTCCGCGGTTGGAGCAACGCTGTTCTCTTTATCTGCCGTCTCATTTTCAGAATCTGAGTTTATTATCGTTTTAACTCGTTTAACAGTTCTTTCTGTATCTGAACCAGAAACAGAACCACTGTTTTGTCGTTTAACTTTTGATCGTTCTTCCTCGCTCTCGTCAGATTTTGGACTTTGATCTAAACAAGAAGAAAATTCCATAACATTAGGTATAGTACAAATATAATTTTAACTTATTGCAAAGTTTCATAAGAAAACATATTTTATAGCAACTAATGGAACACAAACCTGTTCGTTTAAAGGACCTATTTGATTCATTATCGCTCTTATCATTTTTCGGGCTTTTGGATCTTGATCTCTTATCGTCAGATTTTTCGGAACCTGCTTTTTCCGCCGACTCGTCGAACTTTTTCGAGGACACGGGAGAATTCGAACGCCTTCCCGCTGGACTGGCAGAAGCCGCCGATTTATTACTTCTGTGCGAGGAAACGCTTCTAGATCGACGACTTTTCGGCGAATCCGACGCATTGGATCCAGGAGAAGCCGGAGTCTTGGACTTCCTTTCTGTCGAATGGGCAGATCTTGAACTGACGGGCGACTTCGGACTAGAGGAACGTACGCTACCGCGCGGAGACGGCGATCGTGATCTGGGTGACTTCTGCGAGTCTATCGAACTGTTGGAGGCTACCGACTTTGGACTGCCGCTCCTGGATCTCGCGGAACCGGATTTCTCGCTCTGAATGGAACCAACGCTCGAACGTCTCGAGCCCGATCCACCTGACGGGCTATCCGGTTTGCGGCTGACGTTCAACTTGTTGGACTCGACGGTGGATCTCGATGCGCGGCTGGCATTCGACGCGGGCGAAGCAGGTGCGCCATTTTCATCCTCGGAATGCTCGCTCCTGGCATTGCTTTGTATCGGAGCCTGCGACGCTCGACTACCGCTACGACTCGATCTCGAGGATGCGGAAGCATTGTCGGATTCGGATCCTAAAAAAACAGAACCGTGGAATTGTTTTCGATATAACCTTAAAAATTACGGAATTAACTGCTTCCCTTAAAATATCGTATCGTATACATTATTAATATTAGGTTTATAAACATGCAGAATCTGCAAAGGAACAATGCAAAAGTGGACATTTATCGATATTTACATACCAGAATCGCCGCTAGAATCGCGTAAAATCTCTCGCATCGGTGACATGTTTACCTGATAGGGCCAATTTCACGAAGCTCGGTTAGATTAACCGACGGTTAAAATTAGCAGGGTTCCAACTGAAATGATAAGAATGCTTGGTTTTCCTTCACCTCTATTTTCTGTTGGACACCCTGTTAATTTTAACCGTCGGTTAATCTAACCGGACTTTGTGAAATTGGCCCTAAGTCGTTAAGCCCGTGTCACACTACGCATTGCGGACGCGGATCGGATTTGGATTACAGACTGCGAATCGTCAATCATCCAATCAGAACTTTGGCTACTTCGCTCTGATTGGATAGATGACGATTCGCAGTCCGTACTCCAAATCCGATTCGAGTCCGCAATGCGTAGTGTGACACGGGCTTTAGTCGTTAGTCGCAAGCAAATTAACCACAGTCTATTATTCCAAGAATATTCTTAGAATAATAGACTGTGGTTGGTTAATTTGCTTGCGACTAACGACTAACGACTCATTGTAGACCGGGCTTGAGAAATTGACCGATCACAGTCAAGTATGAGAAGAATACTCGACTGTGATTAGTCAATTTCTTAAGGCTTAGGGCTTAAAATCTCTATTGTAGACGCCGCTTAGGGCCAATTTCACCAAGTTCGGTTAGATGAACCGACGGTTAAAATTAGCAGGGTTCCAACTAAAATGATAAGAATGCTTGGTTTTCCTTCACCTCTATTTTCTGTTGGCCACCCTGCTAATTTTAACCGTCGGTTAATCTAACTGGACTTGGTGAAATTGGCCCTAAGGGTGCCGTGTAACAGTAACATAACATAACATAACATAACATAACATAACATAACATAACATAACATAACATAACATAACATAACATAACATAACATAACATAACATAACATAACATAACATAACATAACATAACATAACATAACATAACATAACATAACATAACATAACATAACATAACATAACATAACATAACATAACATAACATAACATAACATAACATAACATAACATAACATAACATAACATAACATAACATAACATAACATAACATAACATAACATAACATAACATAACATAACATAACATAACATAACATAACATAACATAACATAACATAACATAACATAACATAACATAACATAACATAACATAACATAACATAACATAACATAACATAACATAACATAACATAACATAACATAACATAACATAACATAACATAACATAACATAACATAACATAACATAACATAACATAACATAACATAACATAACATAACATAACATAACATAACATAACATAACATAACATAACATAACATAACATAACATAACATAACATAACATAACATAACATAACATAACATAACATAACATAACATAACATAACATAACATAACATAACATAACATAACATAACATAACATAACATAACATAACATAACATAACATAACATAACATAACATAACATAACATAACATAACATAACATAACATAACATAACATAACATAACATAACATAACATAACATAACATAACATAACATAACATAACATAACATAACATAACATAACATAACATAACATAACATAACATAACATAACATAACATAACATAACATAACATAACATAACATAACATAACATAACATAACATAACATAACATAACATAACATAACATAACATAACATAACATAACATAACATAACATAACATAACATAACATAACATAACATAACATAACATAACATAACATAACATAACATAACATAACATAACATAACATAACATAACATAACATAACATAACATAACATAACATAACATAACATAACATAACATAACATAACATAACATAACATAACATAACATAACATAACATAACATAACATAACATAACATAACATAACAAACATAACATAACATAACATAACAGAACATAACATAACATAATGTTATAAGGCTATAGCCTATAGGCCCTCACACACAAATTGGCATAGCTGCATATGCATAGCATAAGACCGTCTGGACCAATAAAAACTCGAATACTCGCCATACGGCCATAAACTGGTAAATGGACTATATATAGGAATAGGAATATATGAAAACTTCTCTTTTGAGGCATGTGGGAAGATGGGACCCGAGCGGAATCGAATCTGGAATCTCTCGATTACCAGCCCGCAACTCTACGCCCGGCGCCACGCATCGCCCGGCTCCGTAAAGTTAGCCGGACCACTTTAACTTTTTAATAATTAAAATTATCTAATCGTTTGGTGGTCGTTTGGTGATGATTGGTAGCCTAATTAAGACGTTTGGTGGTCAATTGTTTTTTTTTAAAATAAATAATTAAAATATTGGTGTAAAGTTAGCCGGACATTTTTAATT